GGTCAGTGATGGCAGGGACCAGGACTGCTTAGTTATGTCTACCTACCTCTTGTTGTCTATTTAAACCTAAACCGTGTGCCAGGACCTTGAAGATGGATTTGGGGTATGTTTGTGGGGCTCCACTGGATCTTTCTCTTCCCAGTATGACCACATTAAAGAAATCTCTTTATTTAATTGGCCCACTGGAGAAGTAGCTGAGCCTCGCTTGTTAAGACCATTAGGGCCCAGGCTCCGTCCCTAATAACTCTGAAAACAAGCTCAGCAGAGAGGACACAGCATTTCTAGAAGGTAGTTCCTGACCTTCCCCAGCAACCTAGGAAGGCAGGGAAGGAAGGAAGCAACTGTGGGGGCTCACATTCCATGTTTGATCTTCTCGCTCATACCCCACGGCCAGTGCCAGGCGAGCAGTCTCCCTCCGGCTCCCTTGGGACAGTGGGGGTGGTAGGCATTGGCTCAGGTCCCACATGGGCTTGACTCTAGTGCAGGAAGGAGGAATGGGCTCAAACAGTCAAAGCCAGCACACAGTGCCTTCGGCCCCATCCAGAGTCCAGGATGTGGGGGTGGAACAGGCCACAGGCCACCTCTTGTCTCAACGTGTCAGAACTGGATTCTGGTGTTGTGGACAGTAAGAAGTGGGGGGAAAGGATGAATGCCATGATTTTGTGACACCCCAAACTACAACTTGGTATCACTGTTTGCGTGGGAACTGCTGTCTGCTGCCAGTCCCAGATGGGACCCTGAGTGTGTGTGTGCGCACGCGCGCGTGTGTGTCTGTGTGTCTGTGTGTCTGTGTGTCTGTGTCTGTGTGTTGCTGTGTGGACCCACTCTTCTATGAGATGCACATGAGGACAATGGCCCTCAGAAGACAGCATGGAGCAAAGCGGAGGGCTCTGCAGGTATGGCACAATACAGAAGGCCCAGTTTCTGCTCCTTTAGGATTCCGTCATAAACGGTGGCTGGACACCAGCAAGACCTTCCCAGCCAACACACTCACCAGTCTGAGGCCCATCTGTAAGTGTAAACTGAAGGCTGACTGTGTGACCCTATATAAACATCTCTGCACTCATGAAGCTCATGTTCTAGTTCACGTGGTAATACATGTGGTAAACGAGAGAATCCCATCACAGCTGAAGGTGGTAAGTGCTCAGTAGAAGCAGTAGGGGGAGCAGACGGACAGAGGAGAGCAGGCTGTAGAATTGCAGCTAGACACCCCAAAGGAATGGCCATATGGGTGCTGGGAAGGGCGTTCTTGGTAGAGGGACCAGCCACAGTAAAGGCTGTGAGGCCCACTGTGCCTGGAGGACTGAGCAAGGAGCCAGACTGTATCTGCAGCCTTCTGAGTCCACTTTATGCCGTTGGCATTTATGCTACAAAGACTGGAGACAAGGTCCAAGCCAAGGGGAGACCCCACTTAAAGGGCCGCTCCAGGAATGTGTTAAAGCAGATATAGGGGTGAAGTTAGGAGGGAAGGAGGACAGTAGCCAAGGCTAGGCAGCATAGAGGTGGGGAGAAGTGGGCAGACTCTGGGTGGACTGGGTATAGGCCCAAGAGAAAGCAGAATCAAGCATGGCTCCAAGGCTTTTGAGATGAACCAGAAGAGATTGCTGTCTCCAGTGATGGAGAAGGCTGAGATGGAGGCTATTTTCTGGAGGGTCAGAAATCGAGCTTAGCTGGAGATGACCACAGGATGTCAGGTAGACATGGTGGTATTGCCTGGGCCTGTGCTGCCTCTTAGTAGAGGCTTGTGCACTCAGTATACAATGCCAGGCCTCTGGCAGGTGGCAGGAGGGGAGGGGCTCCAGAACTGAGGCCTGTGTCTATGAGGAGATGGCTGATTGTCTTCAGTAGACTGGGGAGGTGTGTATAGAGAAGAAAGATCGTGCCACCCAGCATGCTTTGTGTCCTCTGCCAATGTGCATCCATCGGGTAGGGCATCCCGAGTCCCAGCTAATCTAGAATGCCAGAAGGAAGTATCTCTGTGCAGTATCAGAGCTCAGCGAGTACGCTGGCTGCTGAGTCCCAGGCATTGTACTGGGCAGTTTTGTGGATTCCATCTTTCCAAAATCCAAGACCAGAGACTTTGTTAGCTCCAGTGCACAGAGGAGACTTGCCCCATGCCACTGAGTGAGAAAAAAGTGCCAGGACTCAAAACTAGGGTTTTGGCCGAGTCTAGGATCCTTACCCTGCAGAGCCCTGGTGCCCAGCCTGGACTCCAGTGCTGCTTCTCAGAAGCAAAACACCCTAACTCACCTGCCTAGCATGAGTGAGCTACTTTCCTGGGATCCTCTTTAATATTTACTCTGACCTCAGTAGCACTACGAGAAGATGGAAAGCTGAAGAGGGGCGGGACACAGTGCTTGGCTCAGAGCAGGGTGCAGAGAAAGTGCTGGGCATGTGACCCTGGGTGGTGAAGAAGGCAGAAACTGCTTTGACTTATTTAAGGATTCAAGACCCCCCCGCCCCCACTGTGTTTAGACACAGCCCACGTACTACAGAGGACCCATTCACTGTTCAAGCTGCGCAGAAATTTCTTTCTTTGGCTCCATTATTTGCAGAGGATCAACTTTCTGGGTGGGAATACTGGGCCAAAGGTCAGATTCCTTTTGTGAGTCAGTTATGGTTGCCATGTTGCTTTCCAGAAAACAGGTTGTCCTATTTTTTACTCAAAACTAAGTTCATATTTTCCCTTACCATTTATTACTTCTGTTTCCTCTGTAATTCGGTGGGGATAAGGTGATTAACTTACATTCCTTCGAAAGCCGATAAAGAATCTATTGGCAAATGCTTCCTTTCCCCTTTTAAGTGTTGACTTTGAATTCACCTAAGTGAGAATTGTTTGTTCACAGCCTTTGCACATTTATCACCGGGTCATTACTCAGTAAATGTTAACTTAATCACTGTGAGAAGCACCTGGGAACACCTGCTTTCAATGAACTCTTTAAATACCGTGGTAATGAACTTCTGTGTTATTATATTCAATTCAGATTTTATCTCCAGTCTGCCTAGTTAGTATCTTATTTTTAATGATTATTTGCTGCTTTTAAAATGTGAGTCAAATTTTTCTTATGTTTTTCCTGTGTGTCTCTTTTTGTTAGTGATTATAAAACTTAGAGATCACCTCTAACCAATACTTAATTCCATTTAATATACATATATAACACATATATTGCAGTATTAGGAATAACTTCTTTGTGGAGGGTGTTCATTTTATTTTTTAGACAAAGGCCTCATTTAGCCCAGGCTGGCCTTGAACTTGCTATGTAGCTGAGGATGACCTTGAAATGCTGCTCTTCCTGCCTCTACCTCCCAAGGGGTTGGTAGAGGTTTCAGGCATGTGCCACCATGCCTGGCTAGTGTTAGGAACTTCTTTTTAAAATGTGATTCTATTAGTCTACTTTAAAAATGTTAAGTCTGGGCTGGGGATGTCGTAGCTCAGTGGTAGAGTGTTTAACTGTATGGACGGTCTTGGATTTGATCTCCCCACTACAAAAAAATTACATCTGTAATCTAGTGTTCTGGGATTAAATAATACTCCGCCAAATGGCAGTTCTGTAGGATGTAATATCCAAAGCAAACCAAAAGAACAATACAGTCTCCAAGTAGATATGGAAAAGTCAACCCAGTTAATTAAGCTTATTTACTAGAGGACTCACTCTGTCAGACTTAGCATGCTAATTGATCTTCAAGGTTTAGAAAGGCTGGATTAGCATGAAACCTCTCTCAAAGTTTGTGGCTATGGAACCCTTTGTTCACGAAGCATCTCTTGGGGTGCCACAGTTTGGAGGCTGTTGCTTGAACGTCAAATAAAAGTCCAAACCAAACCATAAGCTCTACAGAGTGGGCACTTCTGCTTGCTTCATTCCTGCTATGATTCACAGCACACTGTAGATGCTCAGTAAGTATGAGGTGAGTGGGCAAACAGGCAGGTCACAGAGAAGATGAGTCAGAGCTAGAACAACAATACTAAGACACGTGCTCCCTCATGTGGTCTTCTCCTGTGTCTCTCAGACCTAGAATAATGCCTTGGACAAATCATTGATGAGTTGATGAAGGAAGGCGTCATTTGTTCATCCCTCCCCACCTGACTGTTAGTCCTGAGCATCCTTAAATGGAAGGGAAGGAGATCAGGATCCTTGATCATAACCTGAGGTGGCTCTGAAGCCTCATCTAGGCACCAAGAGCTGAGCTGGAGACCAGGACCCTAGAAATGCCCCTTGGGAGATGCCAGGGCTTTCATGCATTCACAGGGTTCACAGGTGGTTTCTTATACCAGCATTGGAAACCCAACCATGCCAGACCTGGCAGTGGCAGGGGCTTCTGTGAGGTGAGCTTTGGCACTGCTCAGAATTGCCAAATGAGACTCCAAGTCCTTCCCCTAAACACAGCCTGGAGCAGGGCAGAGCCCACTGGGCACTGTGCTCCAAAGTGGCCTTGTGGGCAGAGCCTCACGGCACAGAGCACCAAGTGTCCTGATGGCTGTCCATCTGATGAGCATACCTGCTGGTCACTGCCTTCCAGGACTGACATCCATTCTTTCCTTCTTACCTTTCATCCATCACTTGGGTGGACCAGTGCGAACCATAAAAAGACTCATTTTTGCTCTATAGGGAACTTAAATCAGCTCAAGCTTTTCGTAAAGCCCTCCCACAAAGCCATGGCTTTCAAGTGTCAGGAAAATGGGTGTAGACAGCTATCAACAGTTTGTTCCTAAAAGCTAAGGTCACTGGCCCTCACCTATTCTGCCCAGCATGTAGAATAGCAAAGTACCACGCATTTTAAGGAAGAGACCCCAAAGCCTGGCCCCAGAGTATTGGTGACATCTTCTAAATATTACCCCTGGGTAATATTTCAGAATGCCCCAGTATAGCCCCAGAGAGTCCCGGGTCACCACCACAAGTGCAAGTCCCGCCAGCAGTTTAGGGAAGGATGGCTCCCCTAAACCAATCCCTGTGTTTCAGGTTCTAGAAGCTTCCACGGCAAAGAAGAGAGGAAACAGTGAGTTTTATAAAGAACCATATTTATTTTCATTTACAGCATCAAATATCATAAATAAAGCTAAACATCATTTGATGTGTGCAAAATACAAGGTTCCATGTGGCACAGTAAATGATTCCCAAGGGTCACAGACATGCCTTGCCATGAGACAGGGAAGCTAGCTAAAGAGGCCGAGAGGGAGGAGGGCCCTCTTCGGTTGGTATTCTAGACAGGGAGACTCTGGAAGAGAAAAGAGCAGAGCAGAGCACAGGCTTTGTACTGACCAGTCTCTGCGCCAGTGCAGCAAGAGAGTATCACATGCAGGGCTGGGCAGAGGCTGAAGGGCAGGGTGACTCTGGCCACATGCAGGACAGACATTGATTGCAGTCTGAAGATGTGGGGCCAGACCTATTGTGCTCTCTGCCCTGCGTGCCTTTATTTTTTTTTATTTTTTTTTTATTAGTACATGACTGTCCTGTTGCTCCAGGTAAAGGAACAAAGGAAATTTGTGCTTTAGATAGATCAACAGGAGCACTGAAAGTGGCTGTGCCAGGCCCAGGGCCAAGTTATTTCTGAAAGCCAGCCCTTTTCCTGTGAGCAGGACTCCTTTGATTGAAACTCCTGACTCACTAGGGCTTTAAGAGTCCAGGGGCATAGGAAACACATAGCAAGCCCCTTGGACCAAGAGAGCAGGCTGAAACAGAGGAAGGACTTGCTAACATCATTGTGTTTACAGTAGAGAGCAGAGGTTGAGCTGGCAGGCAATGAAGCCTGGGAACAAGTACATTTTTAAACATCTCTCCAAAGTAAATTGCCTGTGGCTCCCATCAAAAGCATTTGTAATTGTCACATTCGAACCAATTAAGGAGATACTGGTAAGCATGACCTTTGTCAGAGGTTCCTAAGCAGAGTGTTTTCAAAGGTGACCGAGCCCTCCCTCTATTGTCTCCCAATCAGGGTGAACCCCAGGAAAGCAAGAGGGTTTGCAGGTGCAACTGTAAAAGCATGCATGGAGGCCAGGCCAGGGCACAGGGGGCAGGCGGGGCATGCACTTGGTGTGGACCCGGGCTTCTGGCAGAACCGACCCCACCCCATGCTGTTAACCACTCATGCTCGAAGCATTAGTACACAGACTCACTGATGGCCAAGCCAGTATCTCGCCGGCACAGAGGATGGGGTGCAGGAAGTGGGTTAGGGGTTAGTACCACTCTCTGAAAGTTGCCAAGAAAATGAGTCACCTCAGAGCAGAAGTGTGTCAGCCAAGAAGTGGGTGTAGCACTGGAAGGCTGAAACGCACTGGCGGCCCCAGTGAGAGGTTGGAAAGAGAAAGACAAAAAAGAAAGCTTAGTGCAGAAATCGGAGGAGTCCAGATAACAAGAGGAAAAGGGACTGAAGGCGAGCATCAGGCAACCGTTGTGTAACGGGAACTGTCCCCCCAACAAGTGACTGCTTGCTTAGGGAGACAAACCTTCCTGGTGGTGGCCAGCTGCCCATTTTCAAGAATGGAAACACAGGGTCTGAGTATTGTTAACACTCTACTCTCGTCCACAGATGTTCCCAGGACTCTCTGCCCCCTATATCTTCTCTTCCTCCATTTTACTCTGGGGTTTCATACTCACCCTTGAGGTAAATTCATCTTTGAGATGTCTGTCCCTAGGACCCACCAATATGCTGCTATTGGCCACCAAGAAGATTAAGGTCTCAGAACATATAGATGTCTCACTTGTGACAGATACATGGCTACCAGAGTCATTCAAGCCAGCCTCCTTATGGCCATAAATGACATTCTGACTTCCTGGACCATTCCAAAAAGCATCTCGACCCATCCTGAGCTGGAGGTAGTCACAATGACGTGACCTCAAGAATTCACTTGGCATAATGAAATATAAAAGGACCTGAGGGCTCCTCCCACAGTGCTGAACATTAAAACCCCAGGCAAAAAGGTGGTGGGGAACAATGTCCCACATCACTCTGAGAACAATTTCTACAAGTTTGGGGTGCTGGTTCCCATAGACCTGAGCATGGCTATGCCCTGGCTTCCTCAAGACTTCAGGGCAGAGTATGTAGAAATATACCTCACTTTCTTCCCTGTCTCTGTAGACAGGCATGTAGACCTTAGCATGTCAAAGCTCTCAAGACTCCTGGTTCTCTTCTGAACCTCAAGAGGGCGCTCTAGTGACGGCAGCTACATATGGCTCTGTAGTGTCTAGCCACTCTGGTTGCACCTAGGCCTTTGTCAATCCTTCAATTGCTCAGCCTGCCTCTGAGCATCACAGAGTCAGGTAGGGCTCTTCCAGACACCCAGAGTAGACAAAAGCATGTGGGCTCAATGCTCACTTTTTGCCCTGGACAGAGCCTGTTTTCAGGAACCAGTTGATAAATAGCCTTTCCCCAACTTTCCCTGCCAGTTATGATGTGGTAGAGCCACCCAGAGATCAGACACCCTTCTTTTCTGGGGTGGTGGGAGAAGGGTTTCTGATTGTGTTGACCAAGTATGCAAGGCAGCTGTGTGGCTAAGAAGCCAGGAAACTGCACGCAAGACTCACTAAACAGACCATGCTGCCTAGAGGCCAACAAGTGCCTTCAGGCTCAGAGGACACCAGGGAAAGGCAGCCTGACATTACAGACCTGAGTGGCTTTAGCCCAGGCTGCAGCCTGGGCTGGGGACCTGATGGGGGTTGCCATCAACTGAAATAGCCAGTCCCCAGCATTGCATCAGTCTAGCAGAGCTGTTCAGGGTCAAGTGCCAACAGGCTTTCGATGCAGTACCCATTAGTGGGAAGAAAGATGCATGTTCGCAGTGACCCAGTGGCAACCCTGTGGTTTAGTCATTTTGCTGTGATTTGGCTGGCATGGGGGAGAGCCTTTAAGCTACCATTTAGCTTCAAAAGAATGGAGCAAAATAGTCTTCTTTCCTCCAGGAGGACAGATAGCCACTGGCACACTGCGACATGCTTTGGTCGGTTTGATCTAGACTACCCCTCTATTCTTTTCCTCTAAAATCACTACATTTTTGCATGATTAAAAAAAGAAGAAGAAAATCACACCCACAGTGGATAGGCAGCATCTGGCTGCAGAAGTCAAAAGGCACTGGTTGGGTGATAGTACGTTCACTTTTGTGTATCTAAAGTCCCAGGTTATTAACTTTATAGGTAGCGATGATCTCAATTAACAGTCCACTTCAAGGATCTTGTAGAACTGGTGATAAACTCAACACATTTAGAAAAATTGATACTCATAGAAAAATAAGGTTTTCTTTTTGGCTTATTGAAAGTTAAAAATTGAAATGTAAACCCAGAAATATGGCTCACTTTGGTATGAAAAAAACCAAACAAAGCAACAGCAATCAAAGCTGTAAAAAGCATCCTTCATGTTGTCCCTGGTCCTAGCACCACGAGAAGATGTTCACCCTGTCAAGGCCAGGAGGAGGTGGCCAGTGTGGGACTCTGATTTGGAGCTAACTGGTTATAGATACAAGACTTGCTGGTCAGAGCCTGAACAAACTACAAATACCATCTACATTTGGAAATGAAATGTTGGGGCACTATGGAGCAATGGCACCTCACTGTAGCTTCATAGGGATACACCCCAGCAGCCAGCTGCGCAACTGCTCCAGGGATTCCTCGGACTCCCTGTACATGGTGGCCAGGACCTCAGAGAAAGCCCAGAGCAGCGGCAGCCCGAGGCTCAGGAGCTCATAGGTGTAGCAGTAGTTGTAAGCATTGTCCCTGACATGGAGGCCAGTGGCTCTCAGGAGTCCCTGCATCCAGCTAAGTAGGCTCCTGGGGAGTTCGAGGACGCCTCTTGTCAGCCTGAGTGGCCAGCTCAGCGCCTTCCTAAAGTAGGTGGAGATACCTGGGGGGCTGCCTTCTGGTGTGCTGATGGCTGCCACTGCGCAAGAACTTTCGGTGGGGGTGTCTCTCCTTGGGGCCTCTTGCTCCTGCCATGTCCCCTCCTCCTGAAAAAGAGAACAAAGCAAGTGCTTTTAGTCCAGGAGCCTCAGAGGATGCTAACGAAGCCAAGCCCCCAAGCCGACTAAGAGAGCCAAGAAAGGTCTAACTTGGAAAGCCCTGAGTTCCATAGCTAGCCCCACCCCAAACAGCCTGAGGCTCCCATTCCTGGGGTTAAATGTGAGCACAACTTTTCTTCAAACTGACCATACCATTCACTAGCCTTCAAAATACGCATCCCTTTGACCAGCACCTGTACCTCCTTCTAATGATGTACACTAAGTAAATAATTTGAAATAAAGATTAAGATTTATATACAGTGATGTTCGCTGTAAAATATCAAACCATGTAAAAGTTCGGCAAGGTGGGACTAGTGAAATAGATTACTGACCATGCATAAAACACCATCTTTTATAAGCACGAGGAGTAACAGTCCTAAAAAATTTCCCCTCCCCTCTACCTGGGTTTTCCTGTCCTTTCCTTTCTTTTTTCCCCTTCCTTCCCCTCCTCTCCTGCTTCCTCCCCCTCTCCTACCCTCCCTTTCCTTTTTTGAGACAGAGTATGGCTACTCAGGCAAGCCTTGAATGTCTTATGTATGAAGGGAACTAAAATCTTTCTGCTTTAACCTCAAGTGCTAAGATTACAGGCCTGTGCCATTGCATTTGGCTCTAAGGAATTTTTTTTTTTTGTCTTTTTGAGACAGGGTCTCCCTGTAGCCCCAGCTGGCCTGGAACTCACCATGTAGACCAGGCTGGCCTTGAACTCACAGAGATCCACCTGCCTCTGCCTCCCAAGTGCTGGGATTAAAGGCATGTGCCACCATGCCCAGCTATGGCTCTAGAGAATTTTTAATATCACTAAAGTAGAAAGCTGTAGTGGTGAAATATAGTCACAGGAGAAAAGTCTAGATGGAGAGGCAATTGTTCTAAATGACAGCTGATAAAATGTCAGTTGGAGTTTTTTCAAGGTGAGTGATTACAGGGGATTTAACTTTTAAAATTTTTTATTAATTTTTCTCATATTTCCACAGTAAGACTATATGACTTGTGTTATTAAAAGTTTAAGTTGTGGGGCTGGAGAGGTGGCTCAGCAGTTATGAGCACTGGCTACTTTTGCAGAGGTCTCCGGTTTGATTCCTAGCACCCACGTGGTAGCTAACAACCTTTGTGACTTCAGTACCAGAGGATCCAATGCCCTCTTCTGACCTCTGTGGGCATTGCACAACACGGGTGCACTTATACACATGTAGGCAATATACTCATACACATAAAATATTAAATAAAATAAATTTTTAAAAAAAGTTTACATTGGGCTGGTGAGATGGCTCAGTGGGTAAAGGTGCTTGCTGCCAAGCCCAATGACCTGAGTTCAATCCCCAGAACCCACATGGTGGAAGGAGAGAACTGAATCCTGAAAGTCCTCTCTCCACCGCACCCAGACTAAGACATATGCTCTTCCCTCCAAATAAATGAATAAAAATTTAAAAATGTTCACGCTGTGTGTCTTAATTGGTGAAAGGTAATTTGTCAAACCTAGGGAAGGTATTTACTGAGAGCCATCAGAAGGTGCACTACCACAAACCTATACATTTAGTGGCCCATTCAAGAGCCTGGGAGAGGGAACTTGGCCTTTCCTGTGGACAGGTAGCTCCCAGACATGGAGGGACCACATGGCTTTTGCATACCTCAGCACTCAGTCCCAGTCTGGCACATGGGCAAGTCCATCTTGGCTTCTCAAAAGAGCCTGACAGCCCACCTATCTGAAAGCTGGTATCTGAAACAGGGCCAACCCCAGAGGCCTCTGAACCAACACAACCACCCAGGAGGAAGCAGGGGTTCTTCTTTACCTGGGAATAGTCTCCATCTCTCCAGGGGCCAAAAAGGTGGGCCTAACTTTGGGGTTGCCCTTGGAGACCTTGTCACGGGGTCTTTCCTGGTCTACCAGCACTGTTGAGCCCAACATACCTCTCTTTGTTGCTTCAACTCTGCCCGTCTCTTCCGTTGCTTGCTGTTCGTTTTACAGTGAATGAAATGAGGCTTGCAGTAAAATTTGCCTGTAAGAGGAGACATGCGCAAATAAATAGTTTTCTCTGTAAATAGAATCACAGGAAGCAGAAGCCAAACACTTGCCCTGTCTAGTCAGAACACAACAGCCATGGAAATAAGTCCAGTGTGGCTCACACATGAGAAATGGCTTTGCCACTCTCCTCGAAGTACTGTCTTAGAAGGCAGTTACACTTTTCTGCCTTAAGAAGGTGCCAGTAGGGGCTGGAGCAATGACTCAGTGGTTAAGAGCACTGGCTACTCTTGTAGAGGATCTGGGTAGAGTTCCCAGCACCCACATGGCAGCTCACAACCATCCATAACTCCAGTTCCAGGGGATCTGACATTGCTGTCTTCTGGCCTCTATGGCATTACAGGACACAGGTATGCTTAGAAACATATAGGCAAAGCACCCATACACATAAAATTAAAATAAATAAATAAATTTTAAAAGAAGGTACCAGTAAGCCGGGTGTGGTGGCACACACCTTTAGTCCCAACACTCAGGAGGCAGAGGCAGGTGGATCTCCATAGTGAGTTCCAGGCCAGCTGGGGCTACAGGGAGACCCTGTCTCAAAAAAGATCCCCCCCAAAAGAAGGTGCCAGTAATGCAGGGCTCCTGGGGTGGGACTAAGATCCTGTTGTAACTCCCAACCAAAATAGAGGCCAAATTTCTTCACAAGGCCAGTTACCAGGGAGCAAAACAGGCAGCTCTGAGTGTGGGCCCTTTACCCCTTTTTTCTTGGATCCTGGGGGTGGTGGGGACAGCTGAGAACAAACAGTAACGATGAGAAAGAAAAGACATGCCACTGCCGAGGACCACTGGCCAGTAGGAAAGTCTTCCTGCTCACTTCCACAATAGTAACCATAGTGATACCAATAATGATAACAGGAAAAAGTCTTAAGTGTCCCACAGTATACAAGACACAATCCAAAATACTCCAAGATAATTAATTTATCAATCCCCACAACCTAACCGTATCATTTCTTTTGTTCTTTTGAAACTAAGTCTTGCTATGTAGCCCAAGCTGGACAAACACATGATCCTCCTGCCTCTGCTTCCTAAGTGCTAGGATTATTGGTGTGCAACCCCCATACCAGTCCTATTATGGTCCTCATTTTACAGATGAGGAGACTGAGGGGTCAAGAAGTAACAGGCCCAAGGTTATGCGGCAGGTAAGGGGTACTGCCTGGATTTGACCTGGGTGAGTTAGTTCTAGGGCACATAATCCTAAGCACTGTGCTATGATGTTTCTTGTTCTATATGACAGTGTAATATCAAAGGCTGAAAAGTAGAAAATAATTCTTCACTAATGATTTCTGGCAGGCCGCTTATAAGAGTTGCTAATATAGCTATTTTTATAAGATGCAGTTTACTTTTTGTGTGTATATATACGTGTGTGCAGATGCGTGTATATGTGGGTACACATGCACATGTGCATAGGCATCTATATGTGTGTGTAGGCCAGAGGACAACCTCAGCCATAGTTCTTCAGGTAACCGTGGCCTTTTTTTGTGTGACAAGGTCTCTCACTGGCCTGGAACTCTGGCCAGCCAGAGAGCCCTAGGGATCCACCTGTGTTTGCCTCCCCAGCACGGGGATTCTGAGTGAGCATCACCTCACCCAGCATTTTTTTAAACGTGGGTTCTGGGAGTTGACCTCAAGTCCGGTGCTTGCAAGATAAGCACTTTACTGCCTGGGCTAGCTCTCCAGTCCTGTAAACCTTACTAATATTAGCACGCCATTAACTTTACATTACACACCAGGTAGGGTGCTGGGCCTGTCACACAGCTTATCTGATGTAGTGGTTTGAATGAGAATGTGCTCCATAGGCTCTGAGTATTTGAATGGTTGTGGCCCCAGTTGGCTGTGCTGTTTGTGGAGGCTTAGGAGGTGCGGCCTTGCTGGAGGGGACACATCACTGGGGGGTGGGCTTTGAGAGTTCAGAATCTTGCCCCACTTCAGTTTTGTTCTTGCTTGAAATTGTGGCCTTTCAGCTTTCTGCCCCAGTTGCTTGTCCGTGCCCCCTCCCCCACCATGATGGAGTCTCCCTCTGGAACCATAAACCCAATAAACCCTTCCTTCTAGAAGTTGCCTTGGTCATGGTGTTTTATCACAGCAACAGGAGGGTAATGAATACATCTGGTTTTATTGCCTTGGCCCCACAGGTGGTGGGGCTGAGTGAGAACACAAAGACGCTCAGAACGATCAGCAAATGTCACTGTGGCCGCTGTACTGCAGGCTACTTCCGTAGTGGGAGCTGCCAGTTTCCCTCAACAGCTCCCCAGATGACACCATGGGCCCTGTCGGGTATCCCAGAACCTCCACAGGCTGGGACCCCAGAACAAAGTCCTATTTGAGACAGAGGCCGGTGCTGGCCTGGTCCCAGGGATTACCTTCATCACAGTCGAAGGCGTAGGCGGCCAGGCGCAAGGTGGTGGCACAGATGCTGCAGCGGAAGCATTCGCGGTGGAAGAAGCGGCCCTCAGCACTCAGCCGCTCCATCACGTACACACGCTTCTTACAGAAGCAGCAGGTGTCGCTGCCGCCCAGGCTCAGGGGAAACGTCTTCCGCACAGATTCCTGAGGTCAAGAGAAAAGAGCAGCATTCTAGAGCTGAACAAGTCTTCAGAGGCCAGTCCTAGGCCTTGGGAAATTCCAAATTGAATCACAGGGATCTCCAGGGCTCCTGGGTGCTGTTTATGTGACTGCAGGGAAGAGGATGGAAGAGAAGACATAGTCCCCACCCAGACCCCAGTCCTGCGGAGGCTCTCCCCAGGCTGGTCTAAACCAGTAGGCATCGTGCCCAAGTAGGTCTGCCTTGTGTTGCTCTCTTGGGGTCTGTCCCAGAGGCTGTGTTACTTGGCACTATGGTGAGGATGTGTGATGGTCAGTATCGATTGTTGACAGAATCTAGAATCACCTTAGAGATGAGCCTGTGGGGGATTACCTTGATTAGTTCATTGAGGTGACCCACCTATCATGAGTGATACCATTCTATGGTTGGAATCCTGGAGGGATGGGGAAAGGGAGCTGAGTAATGGTACGCTTGCATCAATCACTCTTTCCTGATTGTGGATGTGATGTGACCAGCTGCTTCAAGCTCCTGCAATGACCAACTGCCTCGAACAGCGAGCTAAAATGAACTCGCTCTCCTTTAAATTGCTTTGGTCAGGGTTTTTTATTACAGTGTTAGGAAGAGAAATGTGACAGAATGTGTTTTATGTCCTTGTGCCTGCAGTAGGAAAGGGTATGATCATAAGTGCAGAAAAGGAATGCTTGAGTCTTACAGTCCTGGGGTTGCCTATTATAGTCTCACTTGCCAGGAGGCGGGGCCCCGGCAAGCTGGCACTGGGGTATTCCAGAGCAGTGAACCAAAAGGAAACCTAACCAACTATCAGTGCACAGTGCTGCTGATGGCAGCTGGCTACCGAGCTTGGGGGGTGGGGCAGAGGGATGGCGTGCTCTCCTTTCTACTTATTTCTTGGTGCTTCTCAGATTGGGCACCAATCACTGAAGGTACTGGACTTTGGCAACAGCCCCACAGAGCCTTACTGATGCTGAGAGCCACAGACAGCAGATTAGGACTGACCCCCAGGGACCCAAATGAAGTTTGTCTTTGAGGAAATGTGGCTTCCCTCAATCTCTGCCTGCATTCCAGCCCACTCTCAGCATGATCCTCTTGTTCCCTGGAGGCCAGGGTGAGTGTCTTCAGGTGGAGGCTGAGGGTGTGCATCCTTACCAGGTCTGGAGAGGTGGCCTGAGTCTTAGGTCTGTGATCATTCAAATATAGATTAACCAGAACTTCAGCCGCAGCACCTATTCCGCTGGACACTTTCCCTACTGTCAGCTAGCCAAGGGCAAAAGTGGAGGAGACAGAGAGAAAAGGTAAGGCAGTTAACACCAGGTAGGAAAATGAGGCAAGCTGGGTGTGGTGGAGGAGTCCATACCCATGAGAAAGCAGCACCCCAGAGCTCCCAGAGGCCAACCAGCACCCTGGGAGCAGATACCAGAGTTCTAGAAATGGACAGGACAGAAACCAAAGCTGGTGGTAGAAAAAAAAAGCAAAAACAAAACCACTTCTATTTCTAGCAGGTACCTAGGGCTATCAAATCATAGAGATGGAGCTGGGCATGGTGATGCATGCCTGCATTTCCAGCACCTGGGAAGTTGGGCAGGAGCACTATTGTGCGTTTGAAGTCAACCTGGGTTACATAGTGAGATCCAAACCAGCCTGGGCTACAGAGTGAGACCCTGCCTCAAAAAACTCAAACCAACCAAACAAAAACAACTCAATAACAAAATCATAGACATGGAATTATAGCCAGGGGCTAGGAGAGGGGGAGTGGAAGTTAGCAATTAATGGGGCTGGAGTTGTTTTTCAAGATGTAAGAGGTCTAGAGTTGGATAGTAGGAACAGAATGATTAAAATTATGTGGTGGATCACATCTGTAATCTCAATACGGAGACTGAGATAGGAGGATCATAGTGAGGCCAGCCTGGGCTACACAGTGATCCTCAGCCCAGCCTGGGCTATGATGTAAGACCCTGTCTCAAAAACAAACAAAAAACTTTCTCAAAAACCAGAAACAAATAAGATGGTGAATTTTATCTAAGCGTATAAAACAAAGAACCCGAGGTCCTAGGTAGGCCAGGTGACAGGCAGAATCATATCATGGGGGTCCAAGGTCTTCGGGGGTTTGCTGAGCCTCTGGTTGTACAGATGGGGTAAATGAATCCCTCAGAGGGGAAGGGCTCTAGCTGGGGCCACTCAGCAAATCAACAGAAGCCCCTCAGGCCTCCAGCCCCAGGGTCCTGCACAGCAGCTCTTATGAGAACCACCCAGAGGCTTATATCACAGCTGTGTTACCCCAGCCTGCAAAACTGAGAGACAGAGAAGCAGGGCAAAGGAGGGGAAGAAATCCAGCGACCAAATTTTAGAGAGAGAATGCTGGTCTGTGTCCATCTTTCTCCAGAAAGCTGTCTTCCTGGAAGCTATGGGTGACTGCTGGGTGGGCTGTGGGACAGTTAGGACCCCGCCCCGCCCTGGACTCATTCTGAGACATGGCACATACACGGCGCTGAACTTCTGAACTTGGCTTTCTCATTTAGGAGAATGGGGATGGCTGCCCCTGCCTCATGGATGTGAAGGATGAACTAAGAGAAGGTCAAGTGCATGGTGGTTAGCAGAGGCTAGTCCAAGATGACTGCGACTCTCCCTTTTCTTCCTCTGGAGTCAGTTCTCCCTGCCAACACTTCAGCTCCTGGGTCCTTGAGGAGCAAACACATCTGTGTTTTATCTGACTCCCTCATGGCAGCATCCCAGGAGTGAAGGACAGCTGTGCCACCCTGGGCTAGTGGAGGGAGCAGGATGGGAATCTGTGGCAGTGGTTCCAGAGCTAGTGCTTGGCCAAAAGCCACTCAGAACAGGGAAGGTGGCAATTCTACAAGGCCCTAGAATACCTCTGAATATGGGTGCTGGGTGCTGTGGTTATCCACCAGCGCCTAGCGCCCCTCCCCCAAGGTACAGAGCAGGCCAGCAAATCCCAGATGGACCTCGTTTCTCCCCAGTAGCTCTGAAAGACCATGCTGGGAGGACTGTGCCTGATCTGAGGGAGGCAAATAACATACAGAACTCTTAATGCTCCCTAGACTTCTAAGGGAGAGAGCAAAGGAAACTCCAGATCCTGCTGGCTTCCAAATCCAACTTCTAAGAGTAGTAAGTAAGCCAGAGCCAGCAGTGATTTAGGTCTCCAGGCCTCTGGGTAAAAGTTGACAGCCAACAGAGCCCCAAGTAACAGTAACTCATGTGATGAAATGATGCCTTCTGTCTAAACCCAACACTGCTCTTGGGAGCCACATTTAATCTGATAACAGCCAACCTCAAAAACAAAGCAGAGGTCCAGGGAGCAGCAAAGCCAAGCACAGCCCCCTCCCACCAGCATCTGAGGCTGACTCTTCAGAGTCCAGTCAAAGCAGGCTCTATGGGGGTGAACAGGGAGACAGAGGCTGAGCAGGCAGGAGAGGACAGGGCCACAGAGACCCTCACACCTTTGCTCAGTCTGGAAGCCCCAACACTAAGAGCAACTTGGGACAGTCATTCCATGAGTGGGCCCTTGGGGTTTGTAGAGAACATGGCTGTAGGCTGCTCGGGCTGGGGTGCTGCTGATCCCTCTGGTGCAGGGATTGTAGATGGGGCCCTCATTGTGCAAAGCATCCATGTCTTGTTTTGGGAGCAGCAGTTGCTCTAGGGCAGGTACCACCTCCCCTCCTCTGAGATTAGAATTCTGCTTTGAAACTAGCCCAGCTTTTGCTACTGCCACGAACCTGCACATGCCAAGAAATCTGGTTCCTTCTTCCGGGAAGGTTCAGGTGTGTTGACTTTGGACAATAAGCCATTGTTTGCCTAATGTTCTGTTCCCCAAGTGGAGCCCCTAATCCTGCTCCTCAGTTAGGGGCCGTAGAATACACAGTATGTTCAAGGTTTGCATAAAATAAAAAGGGGAGGAAGGGCAGAGCTGCCTAGTTTTCCTTCTGGGTACTGCCTGCTCAGCCTCTGGCCCAGTGTGTGAACTGGCTCCACGGCACTCTCCCAGAAAGGAACCAATGGGTGCTGCAACACCCACGCACAGTGATTGCCTTCTGATGGAGCAGAGGTTGAACCTGTACTATCTGAGACTTTAAACTCAAGTCTCTAATGAGACCTTATTAACTACTTAGCTAATAAGCACCTTATGCCACTAAGCTTAGCAATCCTGTCTTAGGAAGAAAGTACTAAAGTTTGCCATGAAGGTGCTGGGGGGGGGTTGTCACTAAAACATGCTAGTACAGTCACAGCCTGTTCAGTTGTTCTGTGAGCTATGCAGGTATCTCGCCGGGGGGTTCAGGATGAAGACCAAACCTAGTCCTTTCATTGTGAGCCAACTAAATTGCCATCTGCCTGCTGGGAACCAGCCCAGAATCACTGAGACATAAACTGGGACTTAGAGAGACTGTAAGGGACACAGAGATGGAGGACTTGTCTCAATGGTTGGGCTCTTGAAGCCCACCCCAAGGACTAGCGTGAAGGTGACCAGTGCTCCAAGGATCCAGGGTTGTCCTCTACTTCTTGACAGGAGGGTAGCTATTTTGGCACTGTGAGAGGAAGCTACAACCTGTGCTTCTGCTAGGTCAGTGCCCCTCAGATTTGAAGTCTCAGATCTCTTGAGGCTTGCTACTTCTGCGTACCATAAAAATAAATCAGTAGAAATAAGTTCCCACACTTGGGTGTGTGACAATGCCAGATATTGTTGCCACAATCTACCATGTATCTAATGTTTCCTCTCATTTGCTAGAGTCACTGGATCACAGACCAGTCTGCCTGAGGACCACACTGTCATCAGCTGAGGAGTTACCAGGTGGCCCATCTTCTGAGAAATAAAAGGCACAACTTGTGGAGAGACTTCTAAAAAAACTCATCCTGGTGGTGACCTCAGCAGAAAAACCACACATTCTCAGAAGATTCATACACTGAATAAGTCACCCGTGTTCCCAGGGAGAGTTGGGAAGGCAGGGCATGGGTGGTCTGGCTAGGAACAGTTTATTCAAATGTGAAACTAGGAAATCTGATGATTTAGCCAAAAAACCCCATCAAGAATTAGCAATCTTACAGTCTCCTGGGACTTTTACAACTCTTAATATAACTTTCAAGAATTGGGATATTTTAAATTATTTGTTCGTCCCTTTAAATTCAAATCATTTTTCAGTGAACCCATTAGAACCAGCTATATAGAATGGTTGGTGAGTTTGGGCGGGCCGTCATCTCACACGTCCCATTTCTGTTCTGTGAGCCACAGTTCCCTCAACTGTGAAGTGGGAAGACCATTCCCAAGTTTGAAGGTCTGCGAAAGTGTTGTAGAAGACCCTGGGTAGGAGCTGGAGAGATGGCTCAGAGGTTAGGAGCACTTCCTGCTCTTCCAGAGGGCCTTCAGTAGGTGGCCAGTTAACCCAGAGCACTGCTGTGCCTGCAGGTTTGAGAACTTTTTGCTCTTAAATGCTTCTCTTCTGTACAAACAAGAGTTGTGTGGCCCACCCAAGACACACAATGCCTGTTTTCCCCAAACCACACTAGATTCAAACATGGTGACACTGATGCTGTCACAATGCCAGAGGCTGCCGAGGTGGGTGGCCCTCTACCAAGAGGCATTCCTCATGCTGACCTGTGACCCCTTCAGCTCAGGTCCCTGTTTAGATGTGGGAGTCTTTTTCACACTACACTGTTCAACTCCTCCTGGAGTCTGGGCACCCTGATGCCAGTGGTCCAGTCTTGGTGATCTCTCTGCCCCTGGCACAGCAGACAAGATGCTCTGAATAGGGGAGGAAGCAGGTTCCTGGCTCTTTGTATCCAAACACAGCTTCCCCATCTTGGGCCTAGAACTCAGTCCATAGCAGGTGTCCAGGTTGAGCCACTCTGCAGGGCTGAGTCATCTGTGGCCAGCTGGCATGTTCCGAGCATCAAGCAAGCCCACATGGGGCAATTAGGGAGCTAGAGTTAAGTTTCCAGGAGCTTGGAACTGAGGGCTTAGGGGAAGGGGAGGAGTCAATAAGCAGAGCCAGAGGAGAACCCTTGGTTCCTGGGGGGACAAGGACACTCCCACTGAGCAGTGCCTAGATAAGAAAACCTCGAGGGCAGGCTCTCTGCCTTGTCCTCCTTCCTAAGGCAAGGGGGAAGGAGAGGTACCAAAGCCAGCTTATATAAGGACACTAAGATGCAGGCAGGCTGTGGGAGCCGTCACCTCCAGGAGCCCAAACCTGCCCAGCTTGGCTCCCTGTGCCAGGCACTGCTCCTCATCAGAAGCATGTAGCCCTCATACCCAGCTGGTGAGTCTCAGAAGCTCTTTGAACTCTAAGTCACCTGAGGTGGCACTTGTTCCTCAGTGACTGGAATGAAAATAGAAACCTGGAAATGACTGCTATTCTTTTAAAGATATACTTTTTAGCTAAATGAACTTTCATCTAGAAGTTTCTTCCACTGGGAAAGAGAGCATTTACTTAGTACTTCAAGCATTTTACATATGTTGGATCGCTGTAGCAATTCTTTTTTTTTTTTTGGTCTTTTGAGACAGGGTCTCCCTGCAGCCCCAGCTGTCCTGGAACTCACTATGTAGACCAGACTGGCCTTGAACTCACAGAGATCCACCTGCCTCTGCCTCCCAAGTGCTGGGATTAAAGGCGTGTGCCACCACGCCCGGCTTGCTGCAGCAATTCTAAAGACCCCATGGAGTCACTGATACATCTCCAGTTTATAGGTTAGGAAATGAAAGCTCAGAGAGGCCCACCACCTTGCCCAGAGTCACACAGTGAACGGCTGGTATTTAAATTCAGGTCTGGTTCCAGGTTCATATTCTTCCTATAGCACCCTGCCTTCCTGACACACCCCAGCACGTGGGGTAGCCATGTCCCCAAGACTGGGATTCACGCCAGACACCTCCATCAAGCTGGGGAAGGTGAGGCAGATGGAGGGGCCTGCGATCCATCCTAGCACTAGATAGCACAAAGACAGGTTTGCCTAGCTAAACTTTGCCCAGTTGGTTGCATTTCCTTGTAATATGCAAATCTCAGCATAAACCCTACAAATCTGGTTTTAAAGCAAACACCCTCAGGGGTAGTAGGGAAAGTTCCTTTTATTCCTTCTCTTCAGGCCCAGGAGGCTAAAGTCAAAGCCAAGCAGTCCCCTGGCCAGCTGTGCCTCTTGTTCTTGCAAGAGCTCAACAGTTTCAGCAAATGTCAACAGCCAAACTAAGGACCAATTCAATGTGGTTTCCCTTCTCAAAGAAAGAAATAAATGTTTGATAGAGAGGGCACACAAGCAGAGAGTTTGTTTGATGGAACAAATCAGAAAATGGCACTGGGACACAAGACCAGATATGGATCCCATAGTCCATGTTTTTGGCTCTGGCAAGGTTCTAGGCTATAAATAAAAGGACCTCAAGACTCTGTGACTATTCAGGCCAAATCCAACAGGACCACTCTGAACTTTAAAGCAAAGCACCATTTGAGAAGGTAGATGTGGTTTGAAGGCTGCATCCCTTGGAGATGTGATTTATGTTCGTATCCTCGTGGATAACCTGTTCCTCATGCTAAGTTTGGCCAACTCTGCTTCCCTGACAAAGAAACAAGTTCTGGACCCTCAGAGTTGGGGCACAGGGCTCCAAGGCAAAAGCAGCACATGCTACCCTATGGGAGGCTGCCAAGGACTAAGCATCAGTTTCCAGATGTTTTTCTTCCTTGGGCTCCCGTGAATTGCAGCAACCTGGCATTGACCAATCAGAGCACTCCCTTATCTGTTGGGAAGAAACATTAAGGCCCAAGTTCTCTCCCCATGAGAGACGCTTCAAGCACCATCAGCACTTTATTAGAAAGTCAGCATCTGCTTTAAGGGGCAGCCTGGTCCACCCTGGGAGAGGCTGGGATGCTGCTAGACTCTGCATGTGGGAAACTTGGTGGTGAATCAAAATGGGGGATGGGGAGAGAGAACAGATTGGGTGTGGGCGAGGCTGGAGAAATCCTAGTCAAGATGGCTTGCAACTGAAAACTCACCAACTTCCTATTATGGAATCATAGTGAGACATGCAGGGGCCTGTGTGTGTGTGAGCTCTTAGGGAAACTGAGGCACACAGAGATTCAGTGACTTGCCCAGTGTGCCAGGGTGGTTTCTTCTAAGAGCTCTCAGATCATACTTGAAAGGCACATCAGCCATCATTAACAAGTTGTTCAAATGGCCTAATCACATATTATCTCATGACAAAGGCTGGCTTGGGAGACAGGGTAAGAAAAAGAAAAGTGATCTACTCAACCCTAGAGAAACAAGGAACAAAGCTGCGGAGGTGGGGCCAGAGGACCCAAAAGCCAAGTCCCATTCACCCCCTCCTTGTTCCTGGGCATGTACTGTCACATGGACACAATCCGTGGGCTGGGGCATCTGACAGGGCTCCATCCACATTTGGCCCCTGTGGTCCAGAGAGATCACTGTATGAGGAGTTAGGAGTCATGGGTCCGAGGAGCCTCCCTAAACCTTTGCTTTCTTATCTGGCTCTCTGCCCCTGCTCAGCTCTCTCAGTCACAGGACAACCCTTCTTGCTCATTCCCTTTTAAATTTCTCCTCACTCGGAGTAACCTAGGTCCCTGATTCTTCCATAGGAAGTATCTTCTTGTTTTGTGACACATAAGATGATTTACTTACCTATTATACTATTGTTGATTGTACTCCCCCACCTCCTCCTAGAATACAAGACTCCTTAGGGCAGAGATGACTGATTTACTGATGCATCCAAAACTGAGTTGGCCTTTAACAAATACTTGAACGAATGAAGGTTCACTCACTGGCTTAACAAGAGACCTTGGTTTAAAAACTGCCTGGGAGTCCAGTGAGGAAGGCATTGGAAAGGCTCTATGGTGGTGTGACAGGAAAAAGTTTACTATTGACAAACATCTGTCAGACCCCAAGCTCTGCGTCCTGCCACCATTTGGAAGAGCTAATGCTGCTGGAAACCCAACAGTAGAACTTGAGAAAGATTGTCCCTTAGTCTGCCCCAGTTCTGCCCGTGACCGTGAGAGGACAGCCATGAGCTAGACCTTCTTGAGGGTGGGAGGAAAGTAAGGACAGAGAAGCCCTGACAAGCTCCGTTCTGAAGGGCCAGGCATCAGGAGAGGGGCTGGGCAGGGAGAAACGACGTGGCTCTGGCTGACCTCTAGAGTTGGGCCTGTGCTCAGTGACCTCACTCCTCCTGTCATCTCACTGAAGTCAAGGCTGCTGGTGACCTTTCCCACGACTGGAAGTAGCTCCCTAGCTGGGCTCTCTTGAAGAAGGGCTATCTTGAGACTTCGTTGATGGGGGTGATGAAGATGCCTGTCCTAATTCATATAGCTCATTCTGACGTGGGGCCCACTTTATGCTGGAGGGGAGATGGAGGTTCAGACAGACCAGGGGACTTGAAGATAAACTGACCAATAGTTGACACCGACCAGGATGCTGGCTATGGTGGTATCTTGACCACGGCTGTTTTTGGCAACAGTGAAGAACAGAAGTCTCCCTATGGTCACTTCCTACTCCCCCTCCTGGGGTGCTTAACACCTATGTGGGAAATCCTGGAGGGGGTTAGGCGGTAAGATTTCATCCTTGAGACAACATAAACTTTTGCTAAGGGAATGGCACGAAGCTGGGTGTCTACCAGCCCAACAACACAGATCTTTGCACAGGGGGCATTTGGCTCTGCACACCGATCCTCAATCTTCAGTGTGAGACAGGTCAACGGGGTGTGTTCAGGGGAGCACAGTCTAGCTGAGGACTCACTCATCCCAGAGGGAAAAATGTACCCCAGATCCAAGTGCAATCATGTTCAGAGAACATTTCATTCCCTCAAATCAGTTAGCTCTCTGCCTCCCTCCCTCCAAGCCTATCTCTGCACTGCTACATCCTCCTAGAACACAGGGATTCAATAGAGATGGAATTCTTTAACAAGCAGACATGCTAAACAGTGCATGTTTTGCCTTCGCTCTCTTCACACTCCCATAAACACTTCAGTCCCAAGTTGGGGTACACCAGACATTCTGCCTTCCCACATGTTAGCCCTGCCCCACACCTCTCTCTAGCAAACTCTTCCTGTGGAGCCTTCCACACATCTCTCCTATCACTGTCTCTGTGTCCTTTCTAAACTTCTCTCTGTCCCCAGAGTCTTGCCTCATACATCTTACAAAATTCATTAGTAATGTATTGAGTCTACTGTGTGAAATTGCCATTTGGTTAGGTCAAACATGGCAGATATCAGCGATTCTGCATGGTAAAAGTGTGACTGGTCTTGTGATGATGTGGTGTTTTTATCAAAACTGTAGCAAGGGATGCAATTTCCCCCTTTGTTTCTTCAGCATCTGGCACAGAGCTTGGCATCCGGGTCCCTGACAAGTCCTGGGTGGGGCAGGCTGCTTGCTGCCTGCACTAATGCAAAACCCAAACCCGATCCTGGGCTGTTGTACAATATCTTACAAACTTCCATCCCAGCCAAGCCTGGCTCCAGATGCTTGCCTGCACGGGCCAAGCAGAGGCTGAGAACATCTCAGAACATGCAAGGGGGTGGGGGTGTGTGATGATTCAGAGTGACTACCTTTCTGGCAGGAGAAGCAGAGTCTGCAGTCGGTGGAGAGGAAGGAGCAGCTGGATCAGGAGATGGAAGGGAAGAGGGAGAAGACGGAGGATGAGTGTGAGGCAGACCTTTAGACAGTTTATCCTGCACAGAACAGAGATAGAGGAAAGTAGGGTTACAAGCAGCAGCAGGTATGGTGATGCATGCCTGTGATGTAGCCTTGTGGATGCCTCATAGGGCGCAGACACTGAGGCCTGTGTCTCAGGACAACACAGAAGCCGCCGTTAGAGTCATGCGGGAATATGTAGCTCCTGGCTACACTGCATTCTGCTACAATTCCAGCTCCCTGGAATAGCAATAAGCAGATTCATTTCTGCTCTTGCCTGGATCTGCCCTGCACTCCAGTGCTAATAAGAACCCTCATGCCAGAGCCTGGTATGAAGGAGCAGCTGTAGACTTAGAAGGGGAAAAGCCTGAGCCAAATGGGCCAGAAGGCCGGCAGCAGAGCCTTCTGCAGCTGTGCGGCACTTGTGCTGGCCTCCTGGAGGCCACCGGAACCCTAGCAATGAACTCAAGGTTGGGCAACCCTACTATGTCCGTGACTCTGTGAACAGCCAAAGACATAGAAGGAGGCTGGGAGAACACGGCTGGGGAGATGTGTTCCAGACACTGCCTTGCTGAAAGGATAGGAGTTTACAAGTCCCGACCACCACCCCAGAGCCTTCATTATTAGCTTTAGCTTCTCTGTGAGCACCAGCTCTTTTTTTCTACCAGTTTCTAAATAACTAGCCAAACCTGGAGGAAGCTGTACTTCCCATGCTAGGGCAAGGGTTCCTTAGTTCAGCATTGCTACTTCAAGACACATAGCTGAGGTTAGGGTTGGGTTTGGCCTTGCCATTCAGTGCTTCCCTGGTCAGGGTCCTGTAACAGCATGGTTGACTTGCTTTCACCTCTAAGGCACCTGAAGCCTTGCAACAAACCTGAGCTCCCTCTTTGCAGTGACTCTTAAGAAGCTCAGAGTCGGGGCTGCAGAGATGGCTCAGCGGTTAAGAGCACTGACCACTCTTGCTTTTGCAGAGGACCCGGGTTCGATTCCCAGCACCCACATGGCGGCTATGAACCATTCTGAACTCCAGTTCCAGGGGAATCCGAAGCCCTCTTCTGACCTCCGCGGCATTGCACAACACGGGTGCACTCACATACATGCAGGCAATACACTCATACACATAAAAATAATAAATATTAAAAAAAGCTCAGAGTCTACTTAAAAGCTTTAGACACAGGTGTGTTCAACTTACAGTCCAGGCCGCATGTGTCCTAGGATAGCTATGAATATACCTAGCACGTTCGCAGGTAACAACGTCATACTACGATACCAAAAACTTGGACAGCCCTGACTAGGGTTTTAAAGCCTGTATTCTGTTGAGTAAGTTTCTTTTGACTTGGGTTTACTTTCCTGCCTCAGTTTCCCTTTGTCATGATGTGTCAACTATTTTGAATTTTTGCATTTGGGTCTTTTAAAATGCCAGCTCAAACTCTTTAGTGGCTTGAGAAATGAATACTCTGTGTGTTACAGAGAAGGGAGAAGGGGGAGACCAAGCCACCAAGGCTGGCTCATGGCTAGGGTTCCTAGACGTTCCGAAGGCCCTAAGTTTACCTGTGGGAAATCCCCGTGTCCAAACATGGAGGCCAGGTGAGCTGCCTTCTCTTTAATGTTCTTTTTGTGAAATTCTCTGTTAGCCAAGTTCTGGGCCCTCTTCTGCGGTCAGGTAAGAAAGGAGAAAGAAAAAGATAGTGACCGAGGCTGTGAAAGTTGCCTCCGAGGGAGTGGGAAGAGAGGTCAGGCGTGTTTCATCACACACAGCAAACAGGAGACAGGGAGGGAACAGGAGGAAAAGGGTCTGCTGTGGACAGGATGAGGGACAGGAGGGACAGGAAGGCACCCAGAAGTAGACACAGACAGGCAGAGAGGGTGTTCACCTGAAGAATCTTTTCTTCTACCTGCTGCAGCCGTCGCAGCACCCCGGACAGGGCCAGTGCCCCTTGGCAGGTGGGAGGCAGGGTGGCAAGGTTTTCAGTCCCACCCAGCTGCAGGTCTGACTTGGCCCTGGCTCTCCAGGGCCTGCTCGGACACTCGCCACCAGCAGGCACTTGATTAAGTTCTCTGAGCACCTGCCCCGTCACCACCACGGAGGAGAACTGGGAGAGAGAGGAAATCAGCTTCCTTCCCTCCATAGACTCCCTTGCAAGGAGCCTCATGGGGACCAGAGGCAGAGGGCATAGCGGGTGCCACGCTGAGAAAGATCACAGACCACCGAAGGTAGGGGAGGAGTTTTCTGTCTTTGTACTGGGATCCCCAGCATTCAGTTAGCAGTAGATGGTCCTGTGCCTTACCTAGGATCCTCCAGCCATGCCTCTACAACCCTGATCCCCAGTCCTATCTGTACTCTGAGATCACCTAGGATACCTTAAGGAAATACTCAACTCTACCCAATTCCCAGTAGAGGATGTGACTAGTTGGCGTGTGCAACAAGACACTGATATTTCTTAAATGCCTCCTTACATGATTAGCATGCACAGATATAGAATTGCTGCATCAAACCCACACCTACCTTACCCCACCTTCGGTTTCTGGAGCAATACCTAATACTGACTAGATATTCCTGGAATTTGCAGGCACTCATCCTGACTCTATCCAGGTTCCACACCCAGAGGTGGGATCTGGGATAATCCACAATCCCTCCGTGCTGGTCCTTGTTACTAGGGCATATGGAAAGGCCTTTAATAGCCTCAGCCTCACCAGCTTCAGTGGGTGCAGCCATGAGGCCCCCGGGGAACACATTCCAGTGATGTTTTTGCACTTACTTGGATGCCAGCCTATCCAAGTGGCCCATTTGCACATAAAGTTCAGCACTGCAGGGGTGCACCCAAAGAATCCTATGTGGAGTTGCCGATTTTCCCCCAGGCAGCAACTCCAAGAGTATGTGGTTGCTTGGGCAACACCTGTGACAGGCTAAGGGACCACGTGTATATACTTCAGGCTATGTGGCAGCTCTTACCTTAAAGGTGGTGACCTTGAACTGTGTCTGCATGCACAGGAATTCTACACTCAGTTCTACTTGGGGAGAGGGGAAGGCTCCATCCCTTGGCCCAAAGTCCCCTCCCTCTGGTGTTACCAAAACAACATCTACTGGAAGGAGCCCTACCTGCCTTTTCAGAGGAGGTGGAAGCTTGGGAGTGGACTCCTCCAGCTTGGAGCAGCGAGAGGCACTGGGAGGGCGAGAGGAAGAGCACAGGACAGGCTTACCTATCCCTGAGACATGGTGGTCCTGGGAGGAGAAAGTGAGTCCGCAAAAGCAGCCCAGGAGACAGGAAGAAAAAGGTGAGTGAGATGGAGGACATGGATGGAGGAGAGGGGAGCAGGAGACACCAGGTACAGGAGCAGAGACAGGGCTGGCTGCACTCCTGCAAGCCGGGCCCAGCTGGGAAACCAGAGCTCTGGCTCTCTGAGCATGTGGATGGACGAGTCCTGTAGTCTCCTGCTCTGGGACAACGTGTGAATCCCACAGGCCTTGCTTTTGGCTCAGACACAGGGCCCTGGGCCAGGACTGCCAGCCTGTGCCAAGCTAAGGTGGCCAGCCTGGGATTTCTCCCAGAAATGGAGAGCTTCCTGCCCTCTCCAGGACAGGGATGTCCAGGCCAGAAGAACAGAGCCATCCCCAACACTGGAAACTGCAGGAGGCCAGGCTTCTAGAAGGGACCATTGAGATCATGTTTAAACAAATGCCAGGTCTCAGGAAAATGGCCCTCTTATAACCAAACCATTTCCTGGGGGAAGGCTAGCTATTCAGGAGGGACCCTAATTCTGTCATAGCACAGGTCTCTTTTACAGACAAAGGGAACCCAACTTAAAGCTTTTGTAATGTGATAACAACATCCCAAAGGGAGTAAACCAAGCCATGAACACAGACTCCAATCAGAGTCAGAAGTCTGTTGCCTGAATCACAGCATCCAGGCCCCATGTAACATCTCTGCATGACCTGCTGGTGCATGGGGAGAGGACAGCGCCGGGGAATGTTGGGGAGGTTGGTCAAGCCCTTGTTGCTATCTGAGTCAGCTCCCCTGGTTGGGATGAATCATCTCACTATGGGTTTGGACAGTGCTCTCCCACACAGCCTCTCAATGATCCCTCAAGCTGTCCTATCTCAAATTGGCTACAAACCAAGTCACAGTTTTAGGGCAAAACCAAATTAGGAAATGGATTTCTTTATTGCAAGATGTGCATCAGCACACTATGGCCCATAATCCTCATCTAGGGGCCTGTTTTTGTAAATAAAGTTTTATTGGAACTTCTTCATACTCATTTGAGATGTCCTCTATTGAAGGCTTCATGTTGTAATTGGACAGTATGGTGTCCAGAGTAGAAAATAGTTGTTTTCTGGCCTCAAGGAAAAGACTGTTGCTTCCTAACCAAGAGGCACAAGTCTTTTTAAAATCATCCCCAAATGGTGAATGTTGGTCCATCCTTAGCCCAATGTTTCAGTGACATTCTTGTGGGGTGGGTCAGAGAGCATGTGATAGGACTTACCTGCTTTAGGGTTGAAGGGTTCCGAGTGCTTTCCTCGAACTTAGCCAGCAGCTGATTGGCCATGGACTTGACTTTGTTCTGACTCCCACCTTCCTTACTGCTGCCACATTCTTGATTAGAGTCCAAGCTACGGCCAGAGAAGTTTGACAACTGAAAAGGTCAAAACAGTACATTAGAATCTACAGGTCAGGGAGGGGCCCAGAGGCTCAGGATATGGAAAGGTTCTCCAGGGGCTAAGGAAGTGAGGTGCCCTGGTAGAGTGGATGTTCACAGTACAAGTGTGTCCACCTAAAGCATGGGGGTGGCCAGGCTTGGGACATAGGTAGTTAGGGTTTTGAATCTTGCTTCAAGTGGTTATTACAAACTTTAGTTCGGATAGAGAAGTACTGCATCAAATAACTCCCAAAATATACCACATGACTGAAAAGAGGTAAGTGTGTGTGTGTGTGTGTGTGTGTGTGTGTGTGCGTGTAGTAAGGGAAGTAAGCCAGGGGGTCATAGGACAAGGCATACAGTCTAGGAATACTTCCCCTTTCCCTACTCTCTTCTCAACTTCCTCTACAACTGCTCTGTGTTTGTGATCTTTAAAGAAAAATTCATTTAGAAGTAATTTTCAGATTTACGCAAACGGTCCAAAGTAGCACAGATTATCCCTGCACACCCTCCCCCCAGCTGCCTTTAAGGCAACTTCAGAAGTAATCGCAGCACTGTTATCAAAGCTGGGAAACAAACACTGGCGGGTTACTGTTAACTGGACCAGAGGCTGTTTGCATTGCATCAGTTTTTCCATCCCTGACCCTCTTCTGTTCCAGGCTCCAGTCCAGGATCCCACACAGCATTTAGTCATCTTGTCTCCCTGGTCTTCTCTAATCTCTGAAAATTTCCCTGACACTTTTTGAAAGGTGCTGAACAGCTATTTTATAAAAATGATCTTCCATCTGAGTTGGTCTGATGCTTTCTTGCAATTAGCTTGGAACTAAAGCTTCTAGGAGAAGACAGCACACAGGTGAAGGGCTCTTCACGTGTATCCTGTTGGGTATACGATGGCAACATGACTGGTAAATGGTGATGGAAGCCTTGATTGCTTGATTACGATGGTTTATAAGATGGAGATCCATCTTACTCACCTGCTAACTAAAAAACATTGACAATTACTACATTTCCTAAGAATGCCTTCTCCTGTTCCCTGAATCTCCTGCACAGCTCAGAGTGTACAAAGTGCTGCTGTGCCAAGTGGGAGGTCAACCTTCTCAGGGAGACAGTGAGTCTTCACCAGAGAAATAGCATTCTTGAGGCGGTAAAGATACATTCACTCAGAAGAGATGTGTGGGAAGATGCAAGCTAAGGTGACCTGAGTTTAAGTAAGATCCCCCCAGACGAGCAGCCCCGGTGGGCAACTGCGTGCACAAACATTGTTGGTCAAGTGCCGGACAGACACAAAGCCATTCCCTGCTTCAGTGTGTGATGTATGGCTGTGCACATGAGCTGCTCAAGAGGAGGAGGGAGTGTTTACTGAGTCGCCACTGTTTGCAGAAGACCAAAGTCAGCCAGCACAGTGGGCCACAGGGGCCAATGCTCTCAGACACTAACGCACACACAAGTAAGCTGCCATCCATCTTCAAAACTAGATCGGATTCAGTAGGTCAGTGCCCCAGAGCCTACATTTCTCTTTCCTCATTTTTATTTAAAATATTATTTTTATCTTATGTATATGAGTGTACTGCCTACATGTATGTAAGTGCACCTGCGTGTGCAATGCCCACAGAGGTCAGAAGAGGGCGTTGGGTTCCCCTGCTACAGACAGTTGTTAGCCATCATTTGGGTGCTGGGAATTGAACCCAGGTCTTCTGCAAGAGCAGCCAGTGCTCCAAACCACTGAGCTATCTCTACAGCCCCTCTTTCCTCATTTTTTAACATTTATATTATTATTATTATTATTATTATTATTATTATTATTATTATTTGTGTGGGTATGTATGCCACATGTGTGCAGGTGTCTGCAGTGGCCAGAAGAGGGCATCAGATTCCCTGCATCTAGAGTTACAGGTAGTTGTGTGCTATCTGACTTGGGTGCTAAGAACCAAAGAAAGTTGGGTCCTCTGGAAGAACAGCAAGCTCTCTTAACTGCTGAGCCATCTCTCCAGCCCTTGTAGCCATAGTTCTCGATGGGCTCACCTAAAAAAGCTCTGGAAAACCTTCAGGAAAAAGGTGACTTGAATTCAGTGGGTAGAATGAGCACGCTCACACTGTAAGAGGTGAACTGAACTCTGGGCCTCTTTTTATGAGAAAAGAGGGTGAAGAGTGCAGCTGTGCTCTCCTGGCTCAACTGCTGACACAGCTCGTGGCTGGGAGATGGGCAAGTCTGACACAGAACAGTGATGCTCTACAGAGCATAGCACTAAAGCCTCTTTGGCCATACAGAGCAGGCAAGTCTCTTGTAAGTCCCACGAATCAAGTATCAATGCATTCATTACACATTATCCCATATGCCCAAGTCACCTTTGACATCACCAAGAGGCTAGCTTAATGTTGGCACTACCTGATTGGCACATGTGTGCTTCCTCTTGCAGAATTAGAATGGCCTCTTAAAGTGAAGTACAGATCTGGGGAAATGGCTCAGCTGGTAAAGTGCTTGTCATGCAAACATGAAGACCAAAATTTAATGCCCCTCCAACACCCACATAAAAAGTTGGGCACAGCAGTGTGTTTTGGGGACCCCAGCACTGGGAAGTGGAGACAGGTCAGTCTCTAGAGCTCATCGGTCTGCCAGTCTAGCTGAATGGATGAGCTTAACTATAATGAGAGACCTTGTCTCAAAAAATGAAGTGGGCAGCAACTGAGGAAGACGCCTGACAGCCACATGCACACAACAGCATGTATACCTGCGCACACACACATGCATGTACACACACAAAATAAATAAAATGAAGTGGATATCTTGGGTGTCTTTAAATTGTTTCTTGGAGAGGCAGAACTCATCCCCTTTTTCTACGGACCAACTTTTCAAAAGCAGGTGAAAGATCAGCTCTTTTGACACGCTCCTGCAATTTTCTTCTTTCACCAGAAGGTGGCGCTTATGGACAGCCAACATTTGTCCTCATGACAAAGTACAGAAGTTCCAGGAAAGTGGGGCCACTGGCATCTCTTTCCTACTTCCTCTCAGTAGCAATTCAATTTTGATTAACTGTTCTACAGCATATTATTCCTCTAAAAGCCCACAATGTTTCAAACCTTTCAAATGTGTCATCACATTCAACAGGCATCACCCTGGGCCTGGCCGGTCTTCCAAGGTTACATGGTGAGGAAGTAGCAAATCGATGATTGAAAATACACTGACTGTTTTTCTATCAAGCTGAGCTTGGATCCCAGTGGTTTGGAAGAGAAAAAAAAGGGCTAGGGCTCATGATGGCGTCAAGGACGCCCGAAGCCTCTGGTCCTCAGGACTGGCCTTGGTATAAACGAGCAAATGCACACGTACCTCTTCCAGGTTGCTTATGCCCCGCCGCCTCCGCTTGTTCATGTCTTTCTGTTCTATCTGAGTATCCACCTGCAACAGCCAAGAAAATACCATGAGCCCATCTCCATCAGCCTCCGCAAGGGCCGGGGTAGCCTTGACCTAGAAGCACACAGGGATGCAGGTCTGATTGTAAACAGCTGTCAGCCTAATGGTAGACTAGGGAATAAATGACCCGAACACAACAAATGCTGTCATACAGTTATGCTCAGGTGCAGTGGATGACTAGGAATTGCGTCTCACAGGACCATGATGGAGCATTCCAAAAGCAAGCAAATGCCTGTAACACAGGTAAGGTGGGCATCATATCTATTTCAGTGTGACCTTGGAATTGGAGGCGTTTAACCAGGTGCCCAAGGTTGGAGATGGGCCTGCTGATGCCCTCCGTGTGTGCTGCCTTATGGAGACTCCTCAGCCCTTCAGGAGCATCCCCTGAAGAGATGACAGAGGTAGGTATTAATCTCAGGGTTCAAGTGAGCTGTCCAGGACTTTGGTAGCAAATTAAGGCTGTAATTCAGCCACCATTATAAAATCTAATTCATTTCTAAGAAGAATTAGATCCAGCCTGAGGACTGAAATGGGCATATGTCCAGTTTGCCAAGGACAGTTCTGATTTACTGACTTCCCCCAATCGCTGTGACTATTAATAGACACGTCCCCTTCCATAGCACATTACTTGACTATCTGATAACCTCTCAACAACCAATTCTCTGCTACCTGAATCTGGACATTTAAGTCAGGAAACCTTATTCTACCTAAGTCCCTATCATTACCATTTTAAAAGTTACCAAAAGACACACCTCTTTCAGGCTGCCCAAGGGGGAATGAACAGGTGTGTGTGTGTGTGTGTGTGTGTGTGTGTGTGTGTGTGTGTGTGTTTGTACTGAGCTGTTGCCATGGCCTGGGGTCAGGTGGAGGCTGAATTCAGAACCTCTTCTGCATGTAACCTTGACTACAGACTAGGTCTACTTCTGGAAGTAAGACTTTGGAACCACTAGCTTCCAGGCTCCAGGGTCTTCTCCCAAAGGCTGATTCCCTGAGAAGCCTGAAACCACATCCCACAGAGCATGTGTCCCTTCTACATGGACCCTCCTACATGTTGACCCCCTCCACGGCAGGCCCAGATTACATGCCAGCCTTCTGGATACCATGGATATTTAAGGAGGGCCTACAGGTTGCCCTCTCACTGAAAATGCAGGAATCAAGCCCTCCCAGGCTAGCTCTTCCCAGCCCCAGGAGCATCCTTTCAGATCTGGTTGCTCTGAAATAGTGGTAAGTCTGAGCACCCCAGCACACAGTCCACTATGCGACAGTTTCGTGTAGTAAACACCCTCATTACTCCAGCCCCCATGCCCGCCACTGTCATGTCCACTAGCTCTATTAAAAAAGCAACCACCACAGTTTAATCATTGATAGTTGTTCAAAAATTTGACCCAGGCACCACAAAACAACAGGTCCAAGGGCCCTCCCTCCCTTCAACATTTCCTTCAGCTTCTCATAAATCACTGTTTTGTGAATGGAAATAATTTCAGTCTAAATGCTTGGACAAACACCAAGAGAAACAGATGACCTTATTTTCAACAATGTTGGGACTTGGGCAGGCTGTCTGGGCTCCCAGCTCCATCGACTGAATGCCACTCTGGTCCAAAGACCGGAGCTGTAGAAGTACAGAATGTCCTTCCATCCAAACACTTCATGCATCATCTTAGGGTTCTCTGTTATTTCACTGTTGTTTCCACCTGAATGAGGACTTGGATTTTCCCACAAAGAGAAATCTATCTTCCTCTCTTGTTTACACTTGACAGTGGTTCACGTGGTTCAAATGATCTACAGAGGACATCCAGTCCTGTGACCCAGGGGCTCACAAAAGGTACTCCAGGGGTGTGGGCCCAGCCAGAGGTTCCTAAGAAGACTTCAAGTCCTTCTGGGAGAATAAATACAGCAGAAAGGGGACACCCTCTGCTACTCGGGTTCATCCACCTGGACCCTGGGACAACAAAATGCCAGCTACATGGAAAGGCTAGCACTGTATGTATCCAAAAGATACTTAATTTTCCTTATGGATCTATCATTGTAGCAATGACAGTCAACTAAGATGTAGGTTAGAATAAAGTTAAGAAAATTCAAATTCATCTATTTTTTTTTCCTGATTTGTATATCTAATTTGGAAGTCAAAAATCGACTCAAGACCCCAATCCCAGAGCCATTTCTTCAGCAGTATAGCAACTGGTAAGTTGTCAGGCTCCAGCAGATAACTCCAACCCACGCTCATGTGAACAACCGTACTTCAACTAAATAGAACATACACACACAGAGACAGATACGAGGTGAGGGGAGTGCTGGTTGGGAAGAAGACGAAGTTCAGTGGGGATGGGGGCGATAAGAGAGGGTACCAGGGGCTGAATATGATCCAAATCTATTACACACATGTCTGAATTTGTCAAGGAATGGATAAAAATATATTTTAAAGCACGCTAATCCCTTTGAACCTTATTATACTCTACGAAGAACCAGAAATACAAGAAGCAAATATTTACCATGCCAGGCAGAGAGAATAAACAAATGACTTGCTCTCTTTCCCTATTCATTTTCCAGCTCCTTCACCCTAAGAACATTTTCTTATCATGATTTCCCAAGGATTTGAAAGAGTTGATATGCCAAAAGGCATTTATTAAACTAATTGGTTTCCCTGTTTAAAAAAATCAAGGCATAATAATCAAGACTGATTATTAATTTGATTAGCAAAAGATAACCATGTTCCCATACATCCTGAGTTATTTCGGCTCAAAGCAAACAACCTTTATATTTAGTTATCCAGTATCGCCTAACCCTGGAGGAATTTGGATCTGGCTCATAGGAAGAGGGATTGGTCACTGCAGGCTATGGCCTGGTTGAGTTAGGTGGCCGCTTTGATATTTAAAGAGAGGGCCAGTGACATTAGCACGAAAGCCCTTTGTTCAAGGACTCACAGGTTTGAGTTCGATGCTACTCATGTTGTGGCTATGTGACCTTCAGAAAGTCACCTAGCTCCTCTGACTTCAGTTTCCTTATCTGTAAGAAAGAATCTTATACTGTCTATCATAAGACATTGTGAAGGTTAACAGGATCACAGAATGTAAAACACTTCTTAAACTATAAACTGCTTTCTAAGTGTTAACACTATTAGTGGAGTCAGTCTCAGCAACAGAATTGTAAATGTCTAAATTCTAGTTCTGACTTGGATACTACCTATATAAGTACTACAATTTAATCTCTGCAAGTCAAAGTTCCCCACCTACAACACTGTGACTGTGAGGAGGACACTGTGTTCCCAACCTTCCTCCAGAGGTAACACAAGGAGCAGATGGGACGTATGAGAATGGAAGTGCTGGAAGGTGCTATGCAGGTCGCAGGAAGAAAACTCATCAGGGTTTACCTAGGTGTGAACTCTGCATGTTACATCCGCGATGCGACAGGACAGCTGGTATGATAGTGGCATGACTGTGTAGGGGGTAAACAACTGCCTTCTGACTGGATCTGAGGCCTGTTTCACACCAGGGAATACACACCTGGTATTGTAAGCCAAGTCAAAACTCTATGGCTAGGGAGGTCATAGGCCGTAGGAGAGGAAACTACTACTGATGTTTGTTTGGCTAAATGGACACATTGTCAAGCTGCCTTCTAAGTATTCATGTTTATATCATAGATAAGCGCTGTTGTCAGACTTGGACAGAGATGTTCCTTATTTTTCAGTGGATAAAGGTTAATGCAGAGACTAAGTTAGACTAGACTTAGTTCAAGGTGCTGAGAATAAGTGACTTTTGAGTGCTTAGCTGTAAGTGGACATCTATATCTCCCCTCCAAGGCACAGCTCTTCTGTCATAAGAGGGGGAAGAAAGAATGTAAAGCCTGGAGGATGGGGAGGAGTACTGTGAAACACCGCCATCTGTATACAACATGGCAATTGCAGGCATGAACGTGCAGCAGCACAAGGCCTGCACAAGACCAGCCTTTCAATGTTTCCATCATGGACAGGGGAGGGGCCTGTGAGGAACTACTGACAATTAAGTTGCTAATTGGTAACATTTTTTTCAATGGTATAGCCACTGAGTTCCCATGTAACCCTAACTAAACTCACTGTATTTTTAAAAAGTCATGGAGGTAGGAGGAGGACTAGGTGGGGGGGGGTAGAAAGGGTTCAGCGGGAGAGGGAAAGGGATAAGAGAGGGTAATGAGGGTGGATATAACCACAATACATTGTGTGTATGTAAAAAATTGTCAAAAATGCATTAGAACAAAGAGTGATTTGCATACTGTAGTGTGTTGAGCAGTGTTGCCATACAGAACCAAGAGCTCCATACAAATAGTTCTCACCTTTCCAGAAAACAAGCATCATCACATACTGAGCACCACTGGAAGGGAACTCACTGAGCCGCACCCACTAGCAGACCTGCAGCCTGCACTAGCTTGTATGAGCCCTGCAGCAACACTGCACATCTCTACCTCCCTTTGTAGATGAGGGCATCCTGGGAGGTGGCATATCTGCTCAGTCCCCTGCAGGCCTAAATAAGTCTGTCTGCCTCGCTGCAAATTGCATTCCTGGCCCATAAATCAGCTCTGAATCCTGAGCAGAGCAATGGAGTGCGTAACCTGGGCAGTGGGCTGACAAGAAATGGCTGTTCTAGAACTCTACTTGCCCAACCTTGGAAGCTGGCACCCCTGACTCCTGAGCTGTCTTCAGATCTCTGAAACGAAAAGGACCAGGAACCTAGCAGGAGCTTTGGCTGCTGGCTGGAAGGTTCTATGAGAGAAGTTGGGGAAGAGGAGTGGAGAACTTCACAGGTCCTGCCAGAAGGAAAGTTTTGTAGGACAGGGTCCTTGCTTGCGTATTTCACTGCTTTATCCACAATATCAAGAAGAGAACTCAGTATAAAACAGATGCTCAATAATTCACTCTTAAGTAGATGGTGGATGGGTAGATGGGTGGGTGGGAGAGTGGATGGATGGGTGGATAGATGGATGCATAGGGGCATGGATGGATGCATGGATGTGTGGGTAGATGGTGGATGGGTGAATGGATGTGTGGATGCACAGATGCATGGATGGGTGGATGGGTCAGTAGATGGATGTATGCATGGATGAGTGAGTAGATGGGTAGATGGATGTATACATGGATGGAAAGGGCACTTTCTTCAACACCCTTGGATCTTTGGAAAGTGTCTCTGTACAGGGTCAAGAAGAAGGTTGAGGAAGAACACCTGGCCAAGTCAGATCAGACACAGACACACAAGAGAGTCATGCTCTGTGAACTTCACCTCTACCAGGGTCTAGTAGAGCAGGAACTAGCTGAATGGGGAAAATCCTTGGCCTACCCAGATGATCTTTGGAATGGATAATGTAGGGCAGGTAATGACTTAAGTGTTGTCTCCCAATAAATGAGCTCAAATGGGACAAATCCAGGTACTCTACATATGTAAGCAATATAATGAGGTTAACGGCTGACTGCAGTGCCCATAAATACAGGCACCACCCAGGTGTGGAAGACCTAAGAGATTCCAGAAGAGCACAGATGGGAGTAAGTATGAGTACATATCAATACAGGACAACAGAGGCTGAGGATGTGTGCCCAATGTCACCTATTACACGGTGCCAAAAGTTGTAGAACCCCTAAACTGTTTCATACTAAGAAGTGTTCAGATGCTGAGCAGGACTAGGGGCAGAATGTAGGAGATCAAAGACTTTTAAAGAGGAAAATATGATCCCCAGTCTTACCCTTTTCCTGGGCATAGACCACCCAGTCTTTATTGCTTAACAACCCCATGAGAAGTATCTTCCTCAAAGTCTTCTACTTTGCTTGAAGTTGGTATGTCTTGCTGGGGTTTCAGTGCTATCGATGAGATGATGAGACGAGACAAGATGAGACTAGATGATAGGTAGGTAGGTAGGTAGGTAGGTAGGTAGATAGATAGATAGGTAGGTAGGTAGATGATAGATAGATAGATAGATAGATAGATAGATAGATAGATGATAGATAAATTGAATACCAACAGTCAAAGTTGGAGGGAGAGCAATTGTTAATAATGGCTCAGCAGGGGACAGTGAAGCCTCTTTAGATGTCACACTGTGGATGGACTAAACAGATGTGCACACATTAGGATGCTCCTCTGGAAGCTGGGGAGGAAGACAGGGAGGGATAGCAAGATGCACAGAACACAGATGCACTTATACAAGGTCATAGGCATTGTAGGTGGGTGGGCTATGGGATAGAAGGGTGCAGACATGATCTAACCTGAAGCTATTCCCTAAGGGCACATAAACTCCCATGCTGTGGGATGCATATCTGATTACACCGACATCTATGTGGTGTAACTGAAGTGGAGCCACTATGGATGGACACAGATGTGTGTGTGGTTCTCAGTGTCTTGTGTGTGGACCCAGCCTTCTGGGTATGCAGGATCAGACACAGGTGGACGCAGAATTCACCACTGATAGGAAAAATAATGCCAAAGAGCACTGCAACCCGACCAAGAACATATCCAGATACAAGACCCAGGAGAAGGAGGGAGGTACTTTCATCGGGGAACAATATGTATGGGAGGAAAGATCAGCTCTAATCGAGGACCCAGGGTGACCTAGAGGACTTAGGTCACCTGGTTTGAAGAGACAGAGATCACATAAGTATTTAACTTAGTGACTAAATTTCTTCATTTAATCAAAACATGGGATAAACTCTAGATGTTAGCCCTCCGGGGAGGGTGAAACCATCAGATCTGTGGGTTTTGAGGCCTCTCAAATGGACAGCTCATGGTAATGGGCCAGGCAGAGCCCCCAGCTTCCCAAGAACTTCCCTAAAGAATCAGAGCAAGAAGTAGGGCAAGTCCTCCCAGGACCTGGCAGGCCTCCTGGTCTCCTGCCTCTCACCACTCCCACCTCTCGAGCCAGAGGCAGCCTGCTCTTCCATTAAGTCATTCTATAAACAAAGGTGCGCCCAGTTGAAAGGCTCTCTCAGCCCTCTGCAGTTCCCTCTGTGGGCTAATACTAGGAGAACCAGGGTGAGATGAGGAAGGCACCGAGTGTACCTCAAGAAGCTTGCAGAAGACTGCATTGGCATGCCTGGGATGGTGCAGCCTGAGGCCTGGGTCCTTAGGCTTCCAAGGAAAATTGGTTGTACTAGGGATAGGATAGGGTAAAAGCTGAAAGGGTTGAAAGGGTTGGCTTAGTGGGGCCCGCAGTGGGTAACAAGCCCTTACAGAGCCCCCAGTTTTGAGAAGCCTGGGCAGGAGAGGGAGAGCCATAGGTGTGACCTGTTACTTTAAGGCTCCCTTGAAAAGCCTGGAGACCTGCACCTCTCTGCCAGGCCTGACCTAGCTAGTCCATCTTTTCATCAAGGCAGAGAGGGGCAGAGGCATCAGCTAGGCAGCTGCTACAGGATTCCAGGGACTAGAGACGGCAGGCCTTGGTGCAAAAAGTGACCATGGCTCACATGGTGAGGAGGGGAAGAAAGGCCGGCAGGCTTACTGCACTCTTGGGTAGAAGGATGGGCAGGGCAGGGCAGGACAGGGCAGGGCAGAGACATGCTGAGGCTTGCAGCCTGCTAGAGCAGGAAGGCCAGCTTCGGGAGTTCTTACCCCTTACCCCAGCTGTCCCTGTTCTAGCCAGTGGCTTTGCTCTGGTCCTATCCTGTGACTTCTCTTCCATCTGTTGTTCCCATGTTCCCACGGCCCCTCATTAACTCCCATCTGTCCTGGTCCTCTAACATGTACCTTCTGCCCCAGTGCCACAGAATTCCGTAGCCTGCCCTCAGTTCTCACCCTGCCTGGCTCCCCTGCCGCCAGGCACCATCTTGGCCCATCTGGAAGGAATAATGGGTTTTCTAATTCCCTTCCTGGCTTTGTCACTCTGTCTCATGTACTGTCTGTCCTTGGACGCTCTGCCAGTCCATTCAGTTTTCTTGTTCCCTAAAGTTCTGACCTTTGGCTTGGTCCTCTGTCTCCCAACTCATATCACTTCAGTATGTCCCATTACTGGATATATGACAAAGGTCTGCTGATGTTTGGGCTGAACAATGAGGCATAACTAAGTAGTGTGTGACCTTGTAGAAGGCTGCTCAGCCCTCTTTGTATCTGTTACAGCGAGTACATTAATTAAGCAAGAACATTGGATCTCCCATTGAGATGCAAATAGCAAAATCAGGGTGTCTAATAGTTTGGCTTCTCTGGGCCACACTGGATGAAGAAGAATTGTCTTGAGCCACATATTAAATCCAGGAGTGACCAACCCCTGCCTTTCAGGTTGCAAGAACACACATATGTTTATTTTGTGTGATATTGTGATATAATAGTATTATCTAGCTTGAGAATTATATAATTACTGTTAAACAAAATATCCTCATGTTTTAAGCAGGTTCACAATTTCGTGTTGTGCTGGATTCACAGATATTCTGGGGTACATGCAGCCCACAGGCCATAGATTGGATATCCCAAATAAAACAGTAATTATTCATCAGGTCTTTGGTTCCCAAACTCTGTAGCAAAGCACTTGGTGACACCAGAATGAACAGGATATTTTAAATTTTCCAGAGGAAACAAAGTGATATCTATCAGACACCTTAAAAACTTCTATGATTGTTTGGACTTATCTGCCCAGGAAACGGAGCTAGAGACATTTTTTCCGATCTGAGAGCACTGTGGAAAAGTTCTGTAGACACTAAGGGTGCTATACATCTCTAAAGTTTGAGAACCTCTTTGTTAGGCTCTGGGCTCAAAGCCAAGGACCCGTATCACTCCCTTCTGTGCATGTGCTCCCCTCATCAAATCAACTAAAAGCCACAGCCCTAATGTTGGACTCTAGTAGGACCCAATAACTGTTGAACAAATGAAATAATTAAATGAAATGAATGGAGCAGTTGTGCAAATGTAGCATGTTACCACACATTTGCGCCACTAAACTTATGGCCATTATGTCCCTGGTCTGAACAGTCTAACATAGTGAGAAGGCAGCTTGCCCCAGCCCTTTCAAAACATTCTCTATGATGCTTAGTTTTAAATCGTCAACGTGACAAAACTTAGAATCATCTGGGAAGGGAATCTTAATTGAGGAACTGTCTAGATGAAATTGGTATGTCTATGGGGGATTGTCTTGATTGTTCATTGATATGGGAAGACCCAGGCCACTGTGGGTGGTGCCATTCCCTAGACAGAGGGTCCTGAACCATGTGAGAGGAGAAAGCTGGCTGAGAACAAGCTGGCAAGCAGACTGCATGCCCTTATTTATCTGCTTTTGACTGTGGATGTGATGTGACTAGCTGCTTTGAGCTCCTGCCACTGTGAATTCTTCACGATGATGGACTGCAACCTAGATTTGTAAGCAGAATAATCCCTTTTCTCCCCTTTGTTTTTTGTCTGGGTATTTTATCACAGCAACAGACACTAGAATATTCTCCAACCGAGTCTCGTACACATTTTCTGTAAGCTCTGATCTGTGTAATAATCAACATAAACAGACCAGAGCATGAAGTTCTTCCTCTCACACCCTCTACATGCGGGGAGAAAGAAAACAAAAACTAGCCTGGAAACTTACTCGTGGAGTCCTCTTCCTTGGAAATGTGAGATTGAGATAGTTATTGGAAAGGGATGATTTGCCTAAGCCAAGGTCAGCATTTTCACCGTGGTTTTTACGCCAGGAATCTGTTGGGAAATAAAAGTACCATTGACATTTAGCTCCTGAGCACAGGAAGTGCTGTCATAACCACAGGGTGTCATTGTATCTGGGCCCTTCTAGAACAATTCCTTCACCCTGGACTTGATAAAGCTTTAAACGGCTGCTGTGTCTCTAGGAGGATGGGCACCCTGTGTGGCCTCTGAGTTGAAAGGACAGTATCTGGCAGTTGCAGAGTAGACAGCACCAGTGTGAGGACCAGTTAGACTTGGGTTGGAGGACAGAGATGGCACTGGGGGTGGGGCAAAGCCTCCCATGTTGCTTACCCATGGGCTTCAGTGGGGTGCCCCGGAAGAGCTCATAGAACTTGGAGAGGTACATGACCATGCTGAGCTTGTCGGGCTCTTGGGCTGACGCCATCTCTTTTCCAGTGGTCACAGGTGGGATCCCAAACTCACGCTCTGCCACATCAAATGCCAGCTGGTTGTTCTCCACAGTGTCGTCTTCATTCAGTGAGTCAAAGTTGCTGGAAGGTCAATACCAGGCAAAGTTCAGAGCCAGATGGGATGAACTGAGTTCATAAGAAATTCTGTGGGCTGATGCTTTGCCAGCCCCACCAAGCCCAACCTCAATCCCAGGAACATCCCTCTTTGGGAAATGCAAGAGCTACTTTGATTATTTTTCTTCTTAATTGCAGTAACAGTACGAACATCTCTCAAAGCAATCAAATTATATGTATCATGTAGAGATGAGACCCATCTCCCTCTTATGGCTAGATGACCTTGGTAGGTTTCTATCAGCCTTTTATGGATTTATACATGGTGGGAGGCTGTGCTTCTCTTGATGTCAATAGGTATTGCTCTTTGGACATCAAACATGGTATCTACAATGTCCTCTCACCTTTCTATTGACCTTCCCATATTTCCTACATATAGAGATGAGTCCAGAGCTCAGAGAAGCGAAGTAACCACTCAATGGTAGCCAGTTGATAGGTCTGGGTGCCAAATGGACTTCTTTTGGCTGAGCTAAGTCTTGCCCTCACTTCCTCTCCTGAGGGTAGGATTCTAAGGTTGTATGCTCAAATTCCAACATATGGTGGCTAGGGTGGGGGACAAGTGGTGAGCATGCAAACCAGTGAGTCTAGGGACACAGATTAAACTCACTGTTACCCAAGCAGTCAGTGCAGAAGGAAAAGCAAATTTAGGAGCAACTCAAAGAAAAGCTTGCAGAGAGAAATATTGAGCCAGAGGGCAGTCATCAACTAGCAGAGGCTGGGGTCCCTTATGTCCAGGGCCCAGCCTGTGTTTCATACTCACATCAGCTCTGGTCGGAAGTGGTGAATGATGGCACACAGGGCCAGGCCACTGCGCCAGGATGTGGTCAGGTCAGTGACGTTGACGTGTTGGTAGCCCTCGGTCTGCTGCTGGCACCAGGTTAAGAGCTTGTTAGGCCGGATGTCTGACTCTGCAGGGAGGAGACAGGCAGTGAAACTCTGCAGGAATTTTGAGCCTAAGTGTCCCCTTTCACTGCCAGCAGGGCTGGGACCAGGGAAGAGTGGATGGGCACTGCTGGGGACTGATCACCAGCATAGCTGGAGGGCAGGATGCTGGGATAGGAGGCACACTGTCTAACAGTACCTTCCCTAGGGTCCACTATGGCCAGGTCCAGGGTTGGAGGCTAGGAGCACAGACCCTGCGTCTATTAGTGACAGGAACATAGTGCTGTAGTGGAGGAAGGAGCTTGTGAACAGGGCTGCCCCACACTGGCCTGAGGAGGCAGTGTCTGGGGAGGTGTATTTGAACTAACTATTGAAGAACGACTAGGAATTCATCAGACAGAAGGTATTCCAGGAAAGAGGATGATTTGAAGGCAGGAATGTGGACAACTTGCCATGTTTGTGTAACAGTAAAACAATTTACTACAGTAAACAGTGTTTTACAGCAGCTGGGCATGTGACTCATGTGAGGAAGAGAGGAGGCTAGTCAGAGTGTCACCAGGCAGGAGAGGGGCCTGAGGGAGGCTGGCTGCTGGAGGGTTACTCACTCCAGGGAACCATTCTTCCCCTGTCACTGAACACTCACTCTGTGCCTAGTGCTGTGTCAGGCCCAAGAAGATCAAAAGAAGAGTGAAATGTGGGGGATTTGTTATCTAGTTGGGGAGACAGGACAGTAATATTCAAAATAAAAGGAAAGTACAAACCAGCCCTGTGAAGCCATTCCACAGGTGAGTTTCCTGCCAACATCGCATAGTTTTTGGCAGAGCCAGGATGACCACTGGACTTATGTCATTAAGGTCACCGAGTAGCCCTCAGCCCCTGCACAGTCTCTCCCAGAGTCCCAGAAGAGCCGCTTACCTCGCCTGGAGAGACCGACGGATCTCCTCAATGAGCCCCATCTCTCGAGAGGGACATGGTCCAGCTCCTTGGTAATGTACAAATGCTTCACCTGTAAGCAGGAGATGCCACACAGTTGTGTACAGGTTTCCTAGATCCTGGCTTCGGGCCGCTTTGCAACATCTACCCTGCCTACTGCCTGCCACTGCTGACCTTGAGGGTTGGCTGGTATAATCTCCAATAGTACAACCAGGCAACCGGGTCAGAAACAACAGCCCTCAAGTGTCTACCCAGATGTGGGAGAAGTGACGGTAACTACGTACTTGGTTAATAAGAAACCCCTGTTATTCTCCGCTCTACTGACTGGAAAGGGTGGAGGGGATGTTGGGCAGCTAGAATCCCTGGCAGAAATGCTGGTGTCCAGGTCCAGGCCCAAGTGTGGTAAGGAAGAGAGATATCTAGGTAAGTGGATTATTTGCTGGAAAGAAGGTCAGTGTTGCATATGCACATGACAAATTAACACATGCAAACAGATGTTCAGATGGGAAGACCAGTCATACATACAAATACCATATGTGTTCTGGTTCCCTTCTATGGGTTGGAAAGAATGCTCTCTATTGTACTCCTGACTCTCCTGAGGAAAAGAATTGATCCCACCCGACCACCATGAGTTGGTGGCCCAGCTCCAGGAGTGTAGAGATTTTTTGAGATCATTCCCTTCCCTCAGCTCAGTGCAGGGATTTAAGACAGACTTGGGAATGGGCTCACCTGGTGAGGCCTGACACAGTGTGAGTTGAGGTTTGGATATCGTGTCCCAGGGTCCAATGTGTACTGTTCAAAGTTCTTGTTGATGTTTTCTGGGGTTGTCTGAGGTAACAGCCGGTATAGACTTTCTCTGCAGAGAGGCAAAGCCCAGAGGTCAGAGGTCATTTTTGCCACCTTAGGGCCCTTGTTCCCACCCTCCCCTCCTCTCTGGTCTCCAGGCCTTCTAGGCATGTTTTTACAATCCTCCCCTATATGCCTGACACAATCTTGGGAGCTGCAAAATTTGGGGAGGGACCAAAAGGGGAAGAGAAGAGTGTCTGGGTAGAGGGGGACATGGCCTTCCCTGGGCAGGAGGCAGGAATGCAGGGCTGGCATCTCAGTATCCAGTGATTCAGCTAAAACTATCACCCAGCCACGCTGCTTCCTGTGGCCTGCCCCCTGTGCCATAAGGGTCCACACCCAAGCCCATTAGAAGCCTGTCTTCCCCAATCATGATGAGTCTCCCAGCCTGCCATCTGTCATGGCCATGTGACCAACAGAAAGGTTCTTGAGAAGAAGTCTAGGATCTCAACTATAGGAGAGACTGGGCAGGTCATAGAACTGTATTCAGAACAGAACACAGAAATGTCCTTAAAGACTCCCTTAAATAAACCTCTGTGGGTCTTGGCTACATGTACAATGTCAGGGAGCCCCAATTTAGGACTAGCCTATGAAGATATTTCTCTGACAACCAGGACCCAAGACCTTGGGCACCAGAGAAGGTCATTGATGGAGATGGCTCATGATATAGGGCGTGTCCTGGGGGACCCTGGAATCATACCAGGCCACATGTGAAAAGACAGGTCAGTATAATTCAGAGGTTATAGGGCAGCCAGCCTGGCCCTGTTCCTGCCTGAGCCTTCTACCCAGCCGCCCCCAGCTAGAAATTCACCGTTCAGCCAGAAGCTCCAGGGGCGGGGTGCCCTGGTCCCAGCTCTTCACCATCCAGGCAGTGTCGAAGGCTGCGAGGAAGCCGCGGGCACAGCCTGTGCCCATGGGCCAAAATGGCTACAAAAGAACACATGCAAAATTCCTGTTGATGCCTAGCCAGCTTTCCCAGTTCACCTAGCATTCTCTGGTTACCATCTCTGAACCGGGCAAGGATGGATGGAGAGGGGACCTGCTGTCCACAGCTCACCACAATCATGGGCAGTTGTAGTGCCAATGTAAAGGGTATGATGGCCTCCTTGCAGCAGAGCTGCCTGAGGGCCCTGAGAGACCAGAACTGAGCCAGAGAGAATGCTTCCTGGAAGAGTTGCCACTATGCTAATTTTAGAGCATAGACAGAATTCTTCCATTTGAGAAGATCAGGGGTAAAAGCTCAGTGGCTAGAAAATGCTGAAGCCTTCTAGCACAGGAAGAGCTTGAGGAAGAGAAGGTTGGGAGGTGGACTGGGACAGAGGTGGGGTGAATGCCCGATACTCGACCAAGAAGCCAGTGATAGTCCACAATATGGTGAGCAAGGACCAGTATGGCCAAGCAGAAGGCAACCAGCTTGCTCCAAGGCTGGGTTTGCAATCTGTGATGAATACACAGACACCAGCAATGCTCACACTGAGATTAGATGCTATCCCTTCTGAGAGGGAGGCCATGGCAGCAGTGATGGACTTTGTAACTCTCCTCTCCCTGTAGTGTCTCTTATACCTTTAAAGATCTCTCCACTGAAAGGCCACCCACATACATGGGTGACAGATCCCAGCCCAGCCTAGGGTCTGTATGTTCTGAGGAGGATAGTCTTGGGCTCCAGAGCTGGGCTGATTTATTTTGTACTCCAACCAAGAAGCAGCCCAGAAGATGCTGGAGATGGGAGAAAAAGTTCCCACCTACAGGCAGGCTGACAGGCGCCTCTGAATTCAGCAAAAGGGCAGGCTCCAGGGCCAGGGTGGTCTTGGCAGAGGTCTGCCCACTGGCTGAGTGCCCACCCTTCTCGGGGTTGTTGGCAACAGGGGCTAACAGTCCAAGCACAGATGCATAGATCTGAGTCATAGCATGAATGCAGGGCTCCAAGTACAGGCAATACCTCAAGCAGGCTGTCGCCCACAAGGGCCACGAGCAGCTGGTGTGCCTGGCGCTCCCGCACCAGGGCTGCGTTCTCTGAGGCATACATGGAGGTGAAGTCGAACATGGCCACATCAGGCTGCCCATAGTGGTTTATGGCAAAGTCCAAGGATGGCAGCTGGTAATCGGTGGCAAAGTCGGCAGCTTCACGGGCATAGGAGAGAAGGTTGTCCTGGTTCACGTTCTCTGCACACAGCAGCATCTCTGTATCGATGCAGTCCTAGGGAAGATCAAAACATGACTGACAAGTTTCTTTCAAAGGGCTGGACTCAGACCCCTGGTAGGCAAAAGTCCACAGTATGTGAGTCTTTACAGGAGGTTAATGAAAATGGAAATAGAGGGGCAGGGGACATCTCTCAGTCTGTAAAGCTCTTCTTTACAAGCCTGAGGACCTGAGTTTAGTCCCCAGAACACACACAAAGAACCAGGTATAATAATCCCAGTCCTGGGAAGGTAGAGACAGGTAGATCCCTGGGACTCCTTGACCAGCCAGCTTTGCCTAATTGGTGAACTCTGGACCAGCGAGAGACCTACTCTTAAAAAACAAGGTAGAGCCAGGCATGGTGGTGCATGCCTTTAATCCCAGCACGCAGGAGGCAAAGGCAGGCAGATCTCTGGGTCCAAGGCCATCCTAGTCTACATAGTGAGTTCCAGGTCAACATAATGACACATGTCTCAAAAAAGCAAAACAAAACAAAACAAAAAACCCAAACCAAACCAAACCAACCAAACAAACAAGGTAGACAACTTCTAGGAATGACACCAGAGGTTGACCTCTGACCTCAACACAGGTACACATATGCATACACATATGCTGGGGCACCCCCCCCCCCAGAAATAGCAAACCAGGGCCAAGGAAATAAAGCACATGGGCCAGCCGTGAGGGTTAGCATAGTTGTGCTTAAGGCATTCAATTTGGCTTTGGGCTTCCTGGCACCCAAGGCAAAGGGGAAATGCGATATGGACTTTCCTTATCAGAAAGAATGAAGGCCAGAAATTCCTCAGGGGAGGCGAACTCTCCTGGCACCCAGTGCTAAAAGATTTATCTCAGTAGGAATTTTGACAGAAAACATTGGGAATTATAAGCAGCATGCTTGATAACAGCCTCCAGGTAAATAAGGAGCACATTTAAGAGATAGATGAACAAGTCAGTAAGTGTGATTTAATCATGGATGGAGTTAAGATACCAGGGGCCCAGACAGGCTGTGGTTAGCTGTCAAATGAGATCAGGAGAAAATAAGCATGCCACGGAACTCTCCAGCTTCCCTTCTAGACTCTGGGGGCGCTGCTCACAGCTTGGCTGGGCCCTTAATGTGCTCAGTGTTCTACTTTCCCACAGGGTGGAAACCCGTGGCACTGCATAAACAGGGATGGAGATGCATGCTTGCAATCCCAGCACTCGGGGGGGGGGGGCAAGACTAAAGAATCAGAAGTTCTAGGTCATCCTAAGCTACATGGTGAATTCAAGCCTGGGATACAAACGGTCCACCCAAAGTACACATACAAGTGAGTGAGGTGGACTAATGTGTTAAAGTTGAACACAGGCTTTTGGGCCAATAGGTGAAATGTACCAAATTTTACCTCAGCTGGCCGCTCTCTAAAAATGTGGTCAAGTTTTCTAGCATGGATCTGAGCCTCCATTTTCTCATTTGTAAACTCATAATAACCAAATCTGTTTGTTGGAGTCTCCTGAAGATAGAAACTGTACACTCGGACTATCTACCCCATGTCATGCCTGGCACATGGGGAGTGCTCAGAGGATAAGACTGCCTGCCCCCACTAATTCACAATGCCATACCTGGTGGCATTTGGTGAGGTGATAATTAGATCCATCCAACACACTAGCAGTATACTCAGAGTGGTCTCCTGTCTACATTTTCTGGGAAGCCATGATCTTAAATACCCAGCAGGGAAAATTCTAATATTTCCCTCCAGTCTGCAGGCAGATTGGCCTAAGAGCCTGGTGTCCGTATAGGGTCCCTGGTAGTGACACTTATTCCTATAGTCACATGGTCCCTGGCATCCTTTGAAGGGGTAGAGATGAGGTGGGGGTGGGGGCTGACTGGAGGGGTTCTCATACATTCTTCCTCTCTAAGACAGAATCCCTTCCCATGGTGAACCAGGTGAGAGGTGAATATGGCCACTATACTTCAAACACATGGCCAGGGCCGACACCCTAGCTGGAGTGTGTGGACCGCTAGGCAGAACATGGAGGAGAGCCCAGGTGGCCAGGGTGGCTGTGGGGGTCCCAGGTGAGTGATGCATGATGGGAAATGGCAGAACTACTGGGGAAATTGGAACAAGAAGAGGAGAAGAAAGTAGAGGGAAAAGACAGGAAGCAGGATTCCATGCAAAGCCACAAGCCTGGGGAAGGAGCTCTGAGTAGATACAAGTGATGCTGGAGGATGACTTTGGGCTCCATTCTCCATAGGCCTATGGTGCTGATGAGAGAGACTGGATTCTGTACAGACGGGACAGCAAACAGGGAAGCAGCAAGAAGGGTGGAAGCAAGCAGTGAAGGGTGGAGATTACGTAGGAGGAACAGGAGTAATACATACTTAGATAGAAGAGGCTGTGCCTAATGCTCTCCCCTAAGCCTCTGATGAGGGTGGATGAGCACCGACAGCATCAGAGAGGTAGATCCATGCCTGGCAGCTAAGCTCCCCCCTCCAACATGGTAAGAACAGTCTACAAAGATCAGGAGTCCTAGCCTGCATGAGCGTGGGCCAGCAGGGCCCTCTGCATAGGGAAAGGGAAGCTGGACACAGGTGGGAGCCCAAGGCCTGGTTTCTTGAGAAGAAACTACTCTCCTTGTGGGAGGCACCAAAAGAGTCAGCAAGAACAGATGGGTAAGCCAGCAAGGGAGCCCTATTACCCACAGGTCTGCCATCCAACAACTGTGTGCTCAGCACCTTTGCTTCCTATAGGAAAATGTGACTTGTTTAGGGAGAGGGCTTGTCAGTCTACTGGGAGCAGAAGGAGAGTATGAACCAAGTATCTCAGGGGGTGGTGTGCCAGGCAAACTCTGTGGGGTGTGGTTGGACCCTGGATGCCCAGGCCACAGCTCCTGACACACACACAGATGGCCAGTTCTCTGAGGTTGACTCTGTGGCCTCCGCTTTCTAAGAGCACCAGTCCCACTCCTTGAGGCCCTCGCCAGCTTAGGAGGAGTTTCTGGAGGCCTTTGAGAAGTAAAGGCCTTGGTAAGGACAACAGGGGCCTGGGACCCATCCCAGCTCCTCCTCAGTCACCTCCCCCACCTGTGCCATGATACAGAGCCTGAGATAGGAAGGTGGAGGGTCTGTGACAACTGTCAAGGAATCAAGCCACCAAAAGCAATACGTCATTATTTGTATAAATGTTCTGGGATATTTGAAGGGGACTTTAGCATCCCAGGAAGTTGAGGCACTCTGGACCACAAAACCCAAGTTACACTTTGACGACTGCACAGGCCCTCTTTTGCAAAGGTGCCCACTGTACCTGCTTCCCTGTGCCCGAATGGTCCTGAACTGTGTACACAGTCAGCTGCAGACTAAGGAAGCCACCTCAGAGGAGAAGGAGACACCACATTCCTAGACTGACCCAGCCAGCAGTGGTTCAGTAGATGTGGGAGGGCTAGTGCCCTCAGCTTCACCTGGTTCTACCTCATGCTTCTAGCACTGGCTCCAGGCAAGGTGGAGAGGCCCAGAGGAAGCTTGGGTTATTCATACTTCCAGGCCAGCTGCCAGCACAAGCTGGAGAGAAGAAAGGCACATTCCTCTCCAACAAGCAGCACAGGGCATTGTCCTGGTCCCAGCAGGCACCTGGAGGCCCACTGATCTGGGGCTGGAGGATACTTATTTTGCAGTGGTGACCACAGGGGCTCTGGAAGGATGAGGCCAGACCAGAGGAGCTCCCGACCTGGGAGCTTCTTGCCTAATTTTGTCTTCTCTCTCTCTCGCTCTCAGATTTAATTTTATTTTTTATTTATGTGTATAAGTGTATGTCTATATAGATACCAGTGGCAGTCAGAAGAGTCAGATCCATTGGAACTGAGTTATATAGGCAGTTGTGTGCTGCCCTATGCGGGTGCTGGAACTGAACTTGGGCCTTCTGGAAGAGCAGGAAGTGCTCCTAACCACCCAGCCATCTCATTCTAGCCCAACCTTGTCCTTTCTTTATATTTGACGATGCATGCCGGGCCTGGGGTGCATGTTTGTAATCCCAGCACTTGGGAGGCTGAGGCAGGAGAATGGAGTTTGAGGAAAGCCTTGTCTCAAAACAAAATAAATAAAACTATGCAAAGCAACAAAGAGAACTAAGATGCCGACAGAACAAAGTGTCCAAACAAGGCTGAGTAGTTATGGAATCTGCAAACCGCTGTCTACTAGGTATTGTGCTGAATACAGTGTGTATTTGTGTGTGTATGTGTGTGTATTTATATACATGTGTGTACATGAACTTCTTGTACCCCACACACATTTGATTGCCAAGAACCCTTTTTAGACAGAAATTATTTCTATTCTGCAGTCAAAATCAGCTTCTTGTTCACCATCTTGAGTTAGTACATGGCAGAGACAACCTTCCGTCATCTTTCTGACAGCATGAGATTCAGAAGTAGTGGCCCCTCTATGTTCTACCAGGACAGGGAGCCCCTATCTCCAAGTGACATGTGATATCCCAGGGAAGGAGTAGAGTTGAGTGAGTGAGACTTGGGGAGGGTAAGGAGCTGGCCAATCATATTCAAGCATTGCCATGTGTGTGGACACTGGCTCCTTCATCCAGCAATCACATAATGCCAAGGGCAAGGAGGGTGGTGAGTGGGTGGCTCCTTGTCCCCCTTCCTCCCCTTGGTGGGTTTCTAACAGTACAGTATCTTCTCCTGCACCTGCTGATGCTGCCAGGCCAGGTTGGGCAGGGAAGGACAGTTGGGAAATCACAGCCAGAAGGTACGTACATTAATGATGACGCCTTTGTCCAGCAGGCTCTGCTTCTTGGCCGTCATGACAAAGTAGTGGGTGGAGTCCTTATAGTAAACGATGTTCTCCAAATCGATCCCTAGGAACAAGAAGCATCCAGACTCAGTTTACCAAACCATACCTTGCTTCTTTCTAGGTCTCATCATGTATATGAAGAATATTCATGCAAGATAAATGGCAAAGACATAGCAGGCTGGGGATGACAGAACAGGGGCCAGAAGTTACGCAGGCCAGAGCAGCTAGCTTTCATAATTGCACAAAGACATGTTCAAAAACCAATTTACAGCCACCACAGGTGTCCAGTATTTCCAAGTTAGAGCTAGGGAAGAAGTGGGAAATGCTGGCCAGGGCCATGGATGCTAAGCAATGACATAGTTGAATTTGATCCCAACATTCTGCAGCTCAAAGTCTCATCCACTGGGAGCTGCACAGAGCTCTGGGAATTCTCCAGAGACTATTCCCACCATGTAGTGGCTTGCATGAGAAAGCCCAGATGCAATGGTAGCAACAACTCAAGGGTGGAGGCCAAGACTGCATCTTGTTTGTAGAGTGTGTATATGTGTTCGAGTGTGTGTGTGTGTGTGTGTGTGTGTGTGTGTGTGTGTTGTGTGTGTAGAGTCACACACATGTTATCCTCAGGTGCTGCCCATCTCCTTTGAGACAAGTCTATCATTAGCCTGAAGCTCACCAATTAGGCCAGACTACTGGCCAGTGAGCCCCAGGGATCCCACGATCTCCCTAGAGCTGGGATTACAAGCACACGCCACCATGCCTGGCATATTTATGTGGATTCTTGGGACTGAACTCAGGTCCTCAACTGAGTCATCTCCCCAGCCTTAGACTCCATCTTTTGACCTTTCCACCAATTGCAAATTGTTCACTTGTTAGCTTTCTTCATTTAAAGTTGTGCTTTGAGATGAGAACTTGGCTCTGTTCTCAAAGGGGTGCAGTGAGCCTCAGCCAGAACCACTGGCTTCATCTGAGAACTTAATACAAGAGCAAATCAGCAGGGGGACACTTGACCTGCTGAAGCAGAAACTCCGGGGGCAGGGCCAGCACCCAAAGTCCTAACAAGCTCCCTGGGTGACTCTAATGGTCATTGGAGTTCACCAACCTCAGGCTTAGCTTCTATGAAGGGAAAATAACAGGTACACAGTGACCCAAAAGCACCCCACACAAGGCGTGCTGGGTAACCATAGCAACACCCTTATTATTACAGTAAAATAGGAAACATCCATCAATGCAGAGGGCCCCCAGGAGAATCAAAGGAAATTTATGGCTCTTTCTAGGGGGGGGGGTACTTTGCCCTGGAACAATAACCAAGGGTAACAACTGGGGTCAAATTTAAAGGAAGCTCATCAAAACCTTTGGAAAAACATACTCAGTGTTCTGTCGTAACTCATATCTGGTAGTTTCTGTATTTATTTTCCTAGCTTCTGAAGGGAAGGAAAGGTTAGAGAATTAACCATTGCATCATTCAAAGGATATAATGCAGGAGAAGGAAATATGAAAACTCATAGCAAAGTGATGGGACTGCAGAGAAACTCAAAGGGTCATAAGGTGGTAAGCAACCAGCAGGAGGATAAACCTAGCTCAGCAACTTATTCCATTCCTAGAAAAAGAGCATATGGGAATGATCCCATGGAAAGTTTTATCTGTCACAGTAAGTTCAGGCGAGGTCTAGATCAGAAGCCAGGGATCTGAATAAAAGGCCAGACAGTAAACATGTGTGACTTTGGGGTCAGCAGTCTCTGTTACAAACATTCATGGGAGAACCAGAACCAGTCATAGAGAGCAGCTCAAAAGAATGACCAGAGCTGTGCTATGTTGCCACAGCCTTTGCTACAGACATTGAAACCTGAATGTCCCATCGTCTCTATGCATCACAAAACACTATCCTTTAAGCTTGGTGTGGTGGCACCACTTTTAATCCCAGCACTTGGGCTGTAGAGGTGGGTGGATCTCTCTGAGATTGATGTCAGCCTGGTCTATATAATGAGTTCCAGGTCAACTGGGGCTATAGGGAGGCCTTGTCTCGATATATCACAGTGAAAGATTTATCGTCCTCTTTTTTTTTTTAAAAAAAAAAAAAAAAAAAAAAAAAAAAAAAAAAAAAAAAAAACCAAACAGCTAAATAAACACTAACACTATCCTTAAGACTTTTTGGCCCTCTGAACATAGAAAACCATTTGCCTCTCAAATGAAAACACAGCAGCAAGAGTTTGCTGGTCTCCTGGCTTGAATGCGGAGAGAGTCCTTAGCGCACCAATTTGACCATCAGGACTGTATTTAAAATGTGATGTTGAATGAGAAAATCGAGAAAATTGAGAAATGTGGGCAATCTTTAAAATGTGCTAGGAAGAAAATCCGGAGAGACTTGGATGCTCTGGTTAGAACTGGAGCCACATGAAATGAGTGTGCAAGTGGAAATTTACAGGAAGTGTTAATATACCAGTGAAGACCGGATTATCAGAGAGACAGATGGCTTGTTTAGAGATTTTCTTTTCTCTCCTCACCTCTTTTACTTCCTTCCTTCCTTCCTCCTTTTTTTTATTTTGAGATAGGGTTTCCTATACTTGAGTCTAGCCTCAAATTCACTATGTAGCCAAAGTTAGCCTGAACACCCAATCAACCTTTCTCCACCTTCCAAGTTCTGGGATTATAAGCATGTACCACCATGCCCGGCTAGTACAGATATCTAATTTAACATTATTATTATACTACCTTTCCAAGGAATAATATACATTTTCGGTGAGGTTAAAAAGAAAGGAATTCACTTAATGGGAAGAGGTGACTCTCTCTCTGCCCTCACTCCACTTTGTTTTTGCCTCTATCCTTATTACTGCCTGACAAGCTGCTTGTTTGTTTATTGACTATCTAGCCACATAGAATATAACTTAACTCTCAGTTCGTTGATCTAGCTTATGCCCTAGACCCAGTATATGTATTCAAGAGTATCTGTGCCGAGCATAGTGGCACACGCCTTTGACCCCAGGAGGCAGAGGCAGGTGGATCTCTGTGAGCCAGCCTGGTCTATATAGTGAGTTCCAGGCCAGCTGGGGCTACAGGGAGACGCTGTCTCAAAAAAACTTTAAAAAAAAAAGTATCATTAAGCTAACAGTCAATACCTTCTGTCCTCTAGGCCCAGAGCCAGGTGACAACTGCTGCCAGAGAGGAGGTGTACTTGCTTGTGTCATAGGGAGAGGTAGCTGATGTGTCACAGGTTATTGCTGGCTCCTCAGAGTGCCCTCTGCATCTCATGCTGATCTTGGGTATAGCCAGCCCGACCACCCTACATTATAGTGCTCTATGTGTCCACTCTTGCTGGATAGGAACCTATTTTATGTGTTAACATTGACTCAGTACTCCAAAATATTGAGCATGCATAACATACAATGAATAACATCTAGAACGTTCTCTCAAGAATCCCTTGTGTCCTTGAAGGACTACTGTGCATTTACGGTCTTAAGAGAAATCTCTGCTCCCATACTTTCAGAGTAAATCTCTGGTCTCAGGAACCACCAGAAGCCAGTAGGCCCTCTGAGCGCCTTGGAAACTTGGAAAAGGGGCTGGAGAGATAGCTTAATCAGAAAAGCACTTGTTGTACAAGCACGAGGGCATGACTTTGATCCCCAAACCCCATGGGAGATTTGAAAAGCCAGGCATGGTAGCATGCACTGCAATCCCAGGGCTGGACAGGCAGAGACAGGTGGATCCCTGGGGTTTACTTGCCAGTCAACCATATCAGGGAGAGACCCCCATCTCATAAACAATGGTGGATCACATGTAAAGAATGATATTAGAGTTTATCCTCTGGCCTCCACACGTGTACACATATGCACACGCATGCACACACACAGAAACTGAGGACAAGGGTCTGGTTTAGAGGGGTGAGGGTCCCACCTGTTTCCTCTTTCAGGTCCTGAAAAAACTTCTGGTTGAAGATGAAGGCCACGCCGCTGATCTCCTCCACTTTGGCCTCGGCTGTGCTGTTCCTGTTTATGAAATTGGCGGTGATGGCGATGGCCAGCTTCCCTCGGAACTCCTTCCTCCTGAATCCTGTGGGAGGGAAAGAGCCAGTGGATCAGTCCTCTGGGTATGCTGCTAATGCTACTGAGAGAGCTCTTCTTAGTGCCAAGAACAGAGCAGGCAGAAGCGCCAGGCCTGTTCACAAGAGGCCTTTGAAGTCAGTGGGGCTCTGTCCTTTTTCACAGTGTAGGACCATATACACATGTATAGACAAGTGGCCGAAATCATCTGCTCTAGCAGGCAGTCACAGAGCTCCCCCTTCTGTGGAGGTTCTGGGTATGTCACCTAACACATTTACTTTATTTATATTGATTTGTTATTTTTATTTTATGTATATGAGTGTATTGCCTGAATGACTAAGTTCATTCATGTCAAGCAGAGGGTAGAAGAGGCCATTGGATTCCCCTGGAACTGGAGTTTATGGACAGTTGTTAGCCGCCATGAGGGTGCTGGAAATCAAACCTGGACCCTCTGCAAGAGCAGCCAGTGCTCTTAACCACTGAGCCATCTCTCCAGCCCCATCGCCTAACACATTTATGAAGCCCTTGGGCACTGAGAACTCATACAATTCAAATGACTTTGTTAGCATTTTTATGGTAGTTTTTCTCTTAAAATATTTTTTAAAGATTTAGTTATTTTTACTTTATGTGTATGAGTGTTTTCCCTGTATGTATGTAAGTGCACCAGGTATGTTCAGTACCCAAAGAGACCAGAAGAGAGTAATGGATCCCCTGGAACTGGAGGTCTAGGTGACTGTGAACCACCATGTGGCTGCTGGGAACTGAATCGGGGTCCTCTGCAAGAACATCCAGTGCTCTTAGCTGCTGAGTGATCTCTCTAGGCCCTGATTTTATTATTTATTTATATGTATGTGTATGTATGTCTGTTTGTGTTATATGCATGTGCGTGTGTGTGCCCTCAGAGGCCAGAAGAGGGTGTCAGACCCACTAGAGCTGGAGTTGCAAGTCACCTGAACTCTGATACCAGAAAGAGCAGCAAGTACTTTTAACAACCGAGTCATCTCTCTAGCTCCTTAATTTTATTTTAAAAATTGACTTATAGTAATTGTATGTATTTAGGATATACAATGCAATACTTGATATATGCATATTTTAAGCACTGATCAAATCAAGGTAATTAGTGTATTCATTAGGATAGCCATTATTCATCATTTCTTGGTAGTTCATTCTACACCCCTTCCTCCATCTATTGTTGATCACACTATTGTTGATCATGGCCACTCTACCCTACTACCACAGAGCCTCAGCACTTAGCCCAGACTTCTCCATTTTCAGTGGTTTATAGGATCACTTCTCCTGAATGCTGGTGACACGGTGGATCACAACAAGTGGCCTCATTTTCATAGAGCCCTTCTAACCCTCCTCTTCAAGCTTCTGATTTTCTGACCAGTTCTGAGTTCCCCTGTCCCAGACATGCTGTTAAATAAATTCAAACCATCCCTTGCTATGGTTTGGATGTGTCCCCTAACACATGCTGGAAATGTAATCCCCCAATTCACACACACACTAATGGTATGTGGAGATGGGGTCTTTGGGAGGTGGTTGGGTATTTTTCCTGAACCACCCAAAACAACTCCAGAAATCATATGAGAATCCACATTGGACAGCTTGAAAGCACCAGTCAGATCTGCAGCCTGTGACCCTTGGGAAGGGCAATCTCAGAAAGTAGAACTGTCCCTACTCCAAGAAATGCCCTAGGTACCATGTTTATAACTCATGAACTCAGAGAACACCACTAGTATAAATGTGGCCTGTCAGCTAGTCCATTTGAGGTCAAGGTGACCAACGCAGGTCCCGACAGTGGGTCAGGGGTTCTCTCACAGTCTAACTAGATCTCACTCTGAGAGACCTTGCTATGCTTCTAGCTACAGGACTCAGAGAAGTATGGCTTTATTGCTGGCAGTGCACCTAACTAACTGGCCAACACTGGGTGTGCTCAAGATTATGAAAAGAAAGGGGCTTCTCCTTTGGCTAGTAGTGTACTTGAACGTGAACGGAGGCAATTAAAAACATGAAATGTTTGTCTTACTTGAAGTGAGAAAAGGGTGCTCAGAATATTGGCTTACACACAGCAGGTGTTCAGTGAGCTCCTGTTGGCTTTTCCCACCACATCCTACCTTTCTAAAGCATCTTACAGATGATGCCTCTCCTAGTCCTAGCCTCAATGTCAAGAGGGCTCCTCTACCCAGAGAGAGAGAGAGAGAGAGAGAGAGAGAGAGAGAGAGAGAGAGAGACAGAG